GTGGAGGAGAAGCTAACCTCTAGATGTATCTTTAAAGTCTGTATCAGACACTGAAAGTCTGTATAAAACATTTTAAGTCTGTATCAGGGATTAATTATCCCCAAAGTTCACATTTTTGTCTTTAAAATAAGTCTCTGTGTTGGTATTTTACTGATATTTATTACAATCTTTAACTGTCTTGTACTGATATTCTTAAATAGTTTATACATATTGGATGGTCATACAAGGTCTTCCTCCACCAGCCATTTGATCATAAAATTTTCCATGTTACTGAAATCCCAACACCAAAATGTTAAGTCATATTTTGATATGAAATTTTGTTGCAAAATTCTAACATATGATTTATTATTCCTTATGCTTATTGTAAGCATTTGATTGATTAATCTTGTAGCCACTTTATTGTTAATGGAGACCAATACGAAAAAATGGCTCTTTCAAAGAGACTGCAATATTTTCTTTGTTAAGAAGCAAAAACAGGATATTTTGTAAAATTTATATGTTGGGAAATTGTTACTTGTAGTTGTTCCTTTAATTAATTAATTACTTTATTTATATTAATCCTTTAAATTAATATGTGTAATTAATATTTGCATTTTTATACTATAATGAACCATTTATGTTTTTTTTTCTGTGATACTGTTGAAAATGATATGCCGTTTTTGTAATCATTTTACATTTTCTTAAACTTAAATATTCCATTTGTTTAAAGAAGTTAATAAATAGTGAATTATCCAGCTCTTGTTTGTTTGTTATTATGCCCCCACTTCGAAGAAGAGGGGGTATATTGCTTTGCACTTGTTGGTCCGTCTGTCCGTCGGTCCGTAGACCAAATGGTTTCCGAGTGATAACTAAAGAACCCTTAGGCCTAGGAACTTCAAACTTGGTATGGTGATTGGTCATGACCAGTAGATGACCCCTAATGATTTTGGGGTCAAGGGGTCAAAGGTCAAGGTCACATTGACCTTGTATGTTAAAACGGTTTCCGATCAATAACTAAAGAACGTATAGGCCTAGGAACTTCAAACTTTATATGGTGATTGTTCATGACCAGCAGATGACCCCTATTGATTTTGGGGTCAAGGGGTCAAAGGTCAAGGTCACATTGACCTTGTAGGTAAAAACGGTTTCCGAGTGATAACTAAAGAACAATTAGGCCTAGGAACTTCAAACTTGGTATGGTGATTGGCCATGACCAGTAGATGACCCCTTATTGATTTTGGGGTCAAAGGTCAGGGTCACATGGACCTTGTATGTTAAAACGGTTTCCGATCAATAACTAAAGAACGCATAGGCCTAGGAACTTCAAACTTGATATGGTGATTGTTCATGACCAGCAGATGACCCCTATTAATTTTGGGGTCAAGGGGTCAAAAGTCAAGGTCACATTGACCTTGTAGGTAAAAACGGTTTCCGAGTGATAACTAAAGAACCCTTAGGCCTAGGAACTTCAAATTTGGTATGGTGATTGGTCATGACCAGTAGATGACCCCTATTGATTTTGGGGTCAAGGGGTCAAAGGTCAAGGTCACATTGACCTTGTATGTTAAAACGGTTTCCGATCAATAACTAAAGAACGCATAGGCCTAGGAACTTCAAACTTTATATGGTGATTGTTCATGACAAGCAGATGACCCCTATTGATTTTGGGGTCAAGGGGTCAAAGCTCAAGGTCACATTGACCTTGTAGGTAAAAACATTTTCCGAGTGATAACTAAAGAACCCTTAGGCCTAGGAACTTCAAACTTGGTATGGTGATTGGTCATGACCAGGAGATGACCCCTATTGATTTTGGGGTCAAAGGTCAAGGTCACATTGACCTTGTATGTTAAAACGGTTTCCGATCAATAACTAAAGAACGCATAGGCCTAGGAACTTCAAACTTGATATGGTGATTGTTCATGACCAGCAGATGACCCCTATTGATTTTTGGGTCAAGGGGTCAATGGTCAAGGTCACATTGACCTTGTAGGTAAAAACGGTTTTTGATCAATAACTAAAGAACCCTTAGGCCTAGGAACTTCAAACTTGGTATGGTGATTGGTCATGACCAGCATATGACCCCTATAGATTTTGGGGTCAAGGAGTCAAAGGTCAAGGTCACATTGACCTTTTAAGTAAAAACCGTTTCTGATCAATAACTAAAGAACGCTTTGGCCTAGGAACTTCAAACTTGGTATCATGATTAGTCATGATCAGCAGATGACCCCTATTGATTTTAGGGTCAAGGGGTCAAAGGTCACATTGACTTTGTAGGTAAAAACGGTTTCCGATCAATAACAAAAGAACGCTTAGGCCTAGGAACTTCAAACTTGGTATGATGATTGGTCATGACCAGCAGATGACCCCTATTGATTTAGGGGTCAAGGGGTCAAAGGTCAAGGTCACATTGAGCTTGTAGATAAAAACGGTTTCCGATCAATAACTAAAGAACCCTTAGGCCTAGAGACTTCAAACTTGGTAAGATGATTGGTCATGACCAGCAGATGACCCCTATTGATATTGGGGTCAAGGGGGAAGGTCAAGGTCACATTGACCTTGTAGGTAAAAAACGGTTTCTGATCAATAATTAAGGAACGCTTAGGCCTAGGAATTTCAAACTTGGTATGATGATTGGTCGTGACCAGCTGATGACCTCTATTGATTTTGGGTCAAGAAGTCAAAGGTCAAGATCACATTGACCTTGTAGGTAAAAACGGTTTCCGATCAATAACTAAAGAACCCTTAGGCCTAGGAACTTCAAACTTGGTATGATGATTGGTCATGACCAGGAGATGACCCCTATTGATTTTGGGGTCAAGGGGTCAATGTCATAGTGACCTTGTACTTAATGACCGTTTCTGACCAATAACTCAACAACTCAAGTTGCCTTGGTTGATATTTTATTTGGTTTTGGTATACACATTTGAAGGTCTTATGTAATATAACAACTTGGCTGTCATTAAGGAGGCCTATGTGATTCATAAAATTTATGTATATATTATTTGGTAAGATTTTTAATAACTTTAATTGCTGCACACAACCTATGGGGTCACAATAATTATTACCTTGTGACTAGTCATGACCAGTAGATACTAGATAACCCTTATTAATTGCTTGTTCACTGGGTCAGAAGTCATGCATAATAACCTGATCACATGACAAATTGGCTGCCGATAGGGGGCATACATGTTTTACAAACATATCTTGTTTATTCATGTGTTACGCCAGGGTCTTTCAAATAGATTCAATTCTATTTGAAGACCCTGTTTACATAACCCTTAACCTGCTTGAATTAAATTCAATTTACCTGTTCAGGATTGAGGAAACCAAGTAAGAAATGCGCTGCGTCAAATTTCATATAAATGTAGCAATGCGTAGCGATTCTCACATTGGTTTACGGTCAATTTAATTAATTTCTTTAATTCTGAATATTTACTGTAATAATTATAATTGCTTCAAATATCGCTACCGTTAATAAATGTATGTAACTTCCGGTAACTCTGCCGTCCGTGACCTCGATAAAAAATGGCGGCGACGTTAATAGGGCCAGACCAGCCTGCACATCCATGTTCAACATGTATATTGTTGACTGAATGGAATTATATTTTCATCTTGATACGCCCACCGTTGATAATGGACAATTTGAAAAAATGGAAGGTAGAAAAAGGTGACTCAGCAGATCTACGCTAGGAAAGTCTTAAGTAGAACATAGAGGATATTATAGAGGAACATTTTGTGCCCCTTAGAAACTGACATTTAAAATAACAAAGATGACACAATTCATTATATATCTGAAGCTGATATATTTAGACTAACACACACATTGAACTTGCAGTAATACAGCTGATACAATGGCTACACATATTTGGACTTTTCAAACACTTTCATAAGACTGCCCATGAATGTACCTTCATAACAAAGTTACAGTTTAAGTGTAGTCGTCCGTTTTATCGATCGTTTTAGAACTGTACTTTTTATTTTTTTTGTACTATACTATTACAACTACATCTGTAATGCAAAGGAGTGAGATAGTGTGTCAATGACTGAAAATGTATTTTCGCGTTATTCTTAAAACCACACAGTATAAATTACATAAGTGGGACAATTAAATGAATTCCGCATAAATATTGACATAGACCATGGCATGATGTTTTAATAGAGATAAACAAAACAGTGCAACATTTGGAAAGTTTGCTGCCATTTATAATGGCTTAATGCTGATGCATTTCCCACAAGAACGTCATATATACTTGAAATCAAGTGATGAAAATTGAGTACCACAAAAGTCGCTGGCCGGGGGGCGTCAGGGATGTTGCACTTCATTCATAGACTTAATAAACCCGAGTCTTCAGTTTTCATGTAATATTATTGTGATTTATGCTTCCGAGGTATCGCACTTTATCACAATTTTCCCTGAAACTAATACTCCTTTGTTTGAAAATGAAACGTCATCAAGAAACGAAGCTTGTTGATTTGCTTGAAAAAATTGTCAAATATTTCATTTAAGTGTTGTTATACTTTTTGGTCTTAAGGTATCGTTCTTTTAATACTTTTAGTAAACAGGATTGAATACGGCGTTAGCAGGTACTAGTGGGCGTGGGAGATTACATTGTCTCTCATGAACAGACTTAATTAAATCGATTCTACCATCCTCAACATTTTGCTTTGTTTTATTGCTCCTTTGCGGATTTTCAAACAATTTATTCTTCTTGTGGAAGCAACCTCAATGATTACATTTGCTTCTATCTTAAAGCAGACATTCAGGTCTCTTCCTTTCTTTAACATTTATACAAAATATTGACTAGCAATTAACATCAATTTCTCCTAACAATTGACAATTACAAGTTTTCACATTTATACAGCAAGAAAAAAAATATTTATACAAAATTACATGAATTCCTTTCTTGTCACTGTTCATAATCTCACTCCAAACGTGTTAATGTGCAAAATTTTAAAATTTACACCTTATGTTATGATACGTAAAAATTATTCAGATATGTGGAACTAACAATCATTTACATTCAAACAAAGGTGATTGTTTCTAAGCCGTCTGGAATGTTGGTGATTATAATATTCTGTCCTTTCACGTTTTCCTGTATATCTGATGTATATGAGAAATGGTTTGCAAGTGCCGAAAATCTAAAACCGAAATCATTCTGATTTTCGTTGCTAAAATTAAACTCTATACTGATATTGTCAGATATGTCGATCGGAGTCATGAATATAAGTTTATCTCCATTAGTTTTGTAATCATGTATGTGAACCCCATTGTTGGCAATTCCTGTAACACTTTCGACAAACGTACCAGTGACAGCCTTTAATTTTACGGATTTATTGATTGGTTTAACTTGATTAGAAAATAATTGATTTTGTCTTAAACGATTGTTATAACCTTGTATATTTAAGTAACAAGCTGAGCTCCTACCCATTCGTGACAGACTATGTTCATACTTGTACTGCCCGAGATTGACAGTAATTAGTGTTCCCGGTCTTTCGCCTTGCCTGAAATTCCCCAAAGGTGTCGACCCTTTTGTTGCGTTAAATTCATACAGCGTCAGTAGCTCCTCTTTGGTTAGTATTCCAGATGGAGTAACAACTCGCGCAAAATCTTCTATTGGTATATTCGGAAACCTTATCTCGAACAGAGCTTCCCCAAGTTGATCGCGCATATTTTGTCCAGATTTAGATTCACAATTGTGTTCTGCCCATTTCACTGCTGCTTTAAATACATCTATTTCATCGCTTGCCAATTCGTCCCTTTTAAGAATATTCAACAATGTTGCGTGCGATAACTCCATAAAACCTTGAGAACATAGGACACTTGATGCATTTTCAATGATGAACGCAAGACATCTCTCTTGAAGAGGATTCATCTGATAAAAGATGGCATGCTCAATTATCTGACAAACATTATTCTCGTCAATGTTGTTTTGAAGAAAGTTGGAGCATTGTTTCACAAGACCAGACAAGTTGTATTTTTTTGCTGCATACAAACAAGGTAAGACATTTTTTCCGTCAATCTCTGGCTTGTCGGTGTAGACAAATCTGAAACACACAGAATAAAAATATTCAATCCAAAAACAAAATGAAACACAAGAATGTCGAACGACACATATACCCCCCTTTCTAGCTATTGACTCACATAATTGGTAATTTTATTAAAGAAACTTGCCAAAAATGGGTACATGGAAGTGTTCAATTATGGAAAAATCAACGGAAACCATTTTGACATTAAAGGCCCATGTGACATTGACCTTTGACCTAATGACCCCTAAATCAATAGAGGTTATCTAATACTTATGACCAATAACTAGGTGAAATATGAAGACTTTATGATGAATACTTTTCAAGATAATCAGCGGAAACCCTTTTGACATTTAAGGCCCCTGTGACCTTGACCTTTGACCTAGTGACCCCAAAATCAATATGGGTCATCTACTAGTGATGACCAATCACTATGTGAAATATAAAGACTTTGATCAACAGTTTTCAAGATAATAAGCGTGAACCATTCTCACATTTTAAGGTCCCTGTGACCTTGACCTTTGACCTAGTGACCCCAAAGTCAATAGGGGTCATCTACTAGTTATGACCAATCACTATGTGAAATATGAAAACTTTGTGATACATACTTTTCAAGATAATCAGCGGAAACCATTTTGACATTTAAGGCCCCTGTGACCTTGACCTTTGACCTAGTGACCCCAAAATCAATAGGAGTCATCTACTAGTTATGACCAATCACTATGTGAAATATGAAGACTTTGTGATGAATTCTTTTTAAGATAATCAGCAGAAATTATTTTCACATTTTAAGGTCCCTGTGACCTTGACCTTTGACCTAGTGACCCCAAAATCAATAGGGGTCATCTACTAGTTATCACCAATCACTGTGTGAAAAATGAAGACTTTGTGATACATACTTTTTAAGATAATCAGCAGAAACCATTTTGACATTTAAGGTCCCTGTGACCTTGACCTTTGACCTAGTGACCCCAAAATCAATAGGGGTCATCTACTAGTTATGACTAATCACTATGTGAAATATGAAGACTTTGTGATGAATAGTTTTCAAGATAATAAGCGGAAACCATTCTGACTTTTATTGCCTCTGTGACCTTGACTTTTGACCTAGTGACCCGAAAAATCAATAAGGGTCATCTACTTGTTATGATCAATCAGTATGTGAAATATGAAGACTTTGTGATAATCAGTTTTTAAGATAATCAGCGGAAACCATTTTCACATTTAAGGTCCCTGTGACCTTGACCTTTGACCTAGTGACCCCAAAATCAATAGGGGTCATCTACTAGTTATGACCAATCACTTTGTAAAATATGAAGACTTTGTGTTAAATACTTTTCAAGATAATCAGCGGAAACCATGTGGTCTACCGACGGACAGACGGACAGACCGACGGATGGACCGACAGACAGACAGACCGACATTAGCAAAACAATATACCCCCTCTTCTTCGAAGGGGGGCATAATAAACAAGATATGTTTGTGAAACATGTATGCCCACTATCGGCAGCCAATTAGTTATGTGGTCAGGTTATCATGACTGACTTTTGACCCAGTGACCAAAAATTAAATAGGAGTTATCTACTGGTCATGAATAGTCACTAGGCATTTGCAACTGTAAAGGTTGTGTGCAGTAATTTTATGACAAAGTTAATAAAAAATATCAACCAAGGCAACTGCAGTTGTTCAGTTATTGGTCAGAAAACATTTTTGCCTACAAGGCCAATATGACCTTGATCTTTGACCACTTGATCCCAAAATCAATAGGGGTCATCTTTTGTTCATGAACAATCATCACACAAAGTTTAATGTTCCTAGGCCTAAGCGTTGTTTACTTATTGGTTGGAAACCGTTTGTACCTACAAGGTCAAAATAACCTTGACCTTTGACCTAGAAATCAATAGGGATCATCAACTGGTCATGTACAATCAAAATACCAAGTTCCAAGGCCTCAGTGTTCTTAAATTATTGTAGAAACCCGTTTTTATTTACAAAGGTCATTGTGACCTTGACATTTGACCCCTTGACCTTAAAATCAATAGGGGTCATCTCCTGGCAATGTACAATCATCATACTAAGTTTGAATTTCCTTGGTTTACGCGTTCTTTAGTTATTGGTTGGTAACCGTTTTACCTATAAGGTCAATTTTACCCAGACCCCAAACTCAATAAGGGTCATCTACTAGTCATGTACAATCATCATACCAAGCGTTCTATAGTTATTGGTCGGAAACATTTTTACCTACAATGTCAATGTGACCTTGACCTTTGACCCCAAAATCAATAGGGGTCATATACTGGTCGTGTGCTATAACCAAACCAAGTTTGAAGTTCCTTGGCTTACGCGTTCTTTAGTTATTGATTGGAAACAGTTTTAACCTTCAAGTTCAATTTGACCTTGACTGGCCATGTACAATTATTATATTAAGTTTGAAGTTCTTTTTACAGTTCTTTAGTATTGATCGTAAACCGTTTTTACCTACAAAATCAATGTGACTTTGATCTTTGACCTCCTGACCCCAAAATCTATAGGTGTCATATGCTGGTCATGTGCAATAATCATACCAAGTTTGAAGTTCCTTGGCTTACGCATTCTTTAGTTATAGATTGTAAACAGTTTTTATCAACAAGGTCACTTTGACCTTGACCTTTGACCCCTAAACCCGAAAATCAATAAGACTCATCTACTGGCCATGTTCCATCATCATACCAAGTTTGAAGTTCCTAGACCTAAGCATTTTTTAGTTATTGATCATAAACAATTTTTACCTTCAATGTCAATATGATCTTGATCTTTGACCCCTTGACCCATAAATCAACAGATATCATCTACTGGTCATGTAAAATAATGGCACCAAGTATGAAGTTCCTAGGCCTTAGCAATTGGAAACTATTTGGTCTACAGACCGACAGACAAACAAATGCAAAACGACAAGAGAGCAATGATTGCCCTGAGTCGCTCACCAGAAACAACTGCTTTTCTGTGTTGGAAATAATCCATTGTCAATATTTTCTAATATAAATATCTTTAAACAATAATTTGGGGCATTTAAGCTTAAACAGGGCCAATCACATTAATATAAGCAAACTTGATAAAAGACTACCTACGATTAGTAGGATGCTACAGACAAAGTTTGGTGATCTTCAATCAGTTACTAGTATTTCAGTAGAAGATGATGTTCATAGGTTCTTCTATGTTTAGCTTAAGTGGCACCTAAAAGGGGCCAATCAATTAAATATGAGTAAATTTGATAAAATACTACCTAAGAATGCTACAAACAAAATTTGGTGATCATCTATAAATTAGTTCTGTAGAAGAAGACGTTAAAAAAGTATTTCTATATTTAGCTTTAGCTGCCCCTAAAATGAGCAAAATTGATAAAAGATCACCCAAAAATGCTACAGACAAAGTTTCTTGATCATCCATCCATTAGTTCTGTAAACATGTCTTAAGATTTTTTTTATTTTTAGCCCTAAATTACCCCTAAAAGGGACCAATCAAATTGATATGAGCAAACCTTATAAAAGACTACATACGAATGCCACTGACAAAGTTTGCCGATCATCCATTAATTAGTTCTGTAGTAGAAAATGTTTTTCTATTTTTAGCTCTGTTGACCCAAGAAGGGGCCAATTGAAATGACAGGAGCAAATTTAAGTGTGACTGTCACAAGAATGCTACAGAACAAATTTGAAGTAAATATGCTCCGCAGATTCAGTGAACTAGATAATTGTTGACGCATGACGACGGACTGACAATTATAGCTCACCCTGAACCTAAAAAAAAACATTATGGACAATCACGCATGTTCTCAATGTTTAACCTTTTAAGGTCGTCAAAGTTAATTATTGCATACTCAACATCTGTGCATTCAATGGTATTGTTATATATTAACCTTAAAATCGTCTTCATTACATCAGGTTTGACATCTTTGATAAACACCGTTTCACCTCCTTCCGCTAGATAACCATAAAACATGGCTTCAAAAACATCACTGCGCATGCTCAGTACAAATTTATGTGCTGGAAGTTTCACACTTTTATCGTCGTCGAAGGTAAAGCTGATGTCAGAAAGATGTTCTGAGAAGCAAAGATGTGACACACATTGTGCAACCGTTCTTGATTCCCTCCAATCACGATCAACTGAACTGAAGAAGAAATATATTATATTTATATCACTAGCCATAAATAGTGGAAAAAAGAGTTTTATAAGGGGGCATACATTTACAAGATGAAAGAAATATTTTAGCCAAAAGTAAGACAGCAATTTGTTCAAATAATAGTATCACAAGATTTTACACCCTTTAAAAAGATTACATTTATTCACATTTATGTTGTTTTTTCTATTATACCGAATGACAATGTCAAACAGCGATTGAAAATTGTGAAAATTGTATATAAACATTTGTTTATATAAACAGGGATATAAAAGTCAATACAGTGTTGTGAATTTTGTTTGTGTACAACATGTGATAGGTACATACTTTAGACTGCACTCTATGTAATTAATTAAGGCCGTTACTAGCTATATGTGTCATTTAGGTCAAGGATACCGGTTCAGGAAGTTTCCGTCGCTTTAAGTGATATGTTCAGTTAATCCTATGATCAAACTTTAGGAAATAATTACACTGCTACAATTTAGTCATTTAGTATCATTTTTTTGTTATTACAGAATTAGTTTCTATTTTAGTTATTATGTTAGTATAAATTTCTTGTAATACTGTATTATATGGATGGTGTATATGTTAAGATGCCCAAACTCAAAGAAAAAGATGTTACTTATTATAACTTTTATGTTGAGTCTTGAATCTTTTTAGAACAATGAAATGTGTGTCTACGATTTAAGTGTTTGGGGTAAAAAGCATAACTTAAATTATGCAATTTTCAAGAGAAGAGAAAACATTTCATGGGAATAATTAAACATTCAATATTATCGAAATCTAGGTACATTTATCATGTGTCATAACATAAAATACTCATCAAAATGTGCACATGCCCGGATAAGTTACGGGTTTTCTCAAATTGAATACACGAATGAAACATACTTGTCCTTTCTAAGGACATAATTATACTAGTCCATTCATAAAAATATAAAAAAAATATTCTCAAATGTTCCTCGAAAATAATTGAAATTAAAATAAACATACATGTACATCAGTAAAATATATACAAATGTGATGTTAAAGATAGGAACACAGTATATTACTATGAATGAAAACAAAGTAAATTATTGCTGAGAAACAATACATTTTGAATAAGAACAATTTTCAATCAAAAAGTGTGTGATAAAAAATCCTCCATGAAATCTTCTTAAAAAAGAAATCACGATTTCCCTTACAATCCTGATTAGATAATCGACAATATTATAAAGCAAGCTGCCTTTATAGGGAATAAATTGCAAACATAATAAGATCATTAAGCGGGTGAAATGTGCGTGGTACAGCGACTTCAATTCAAAGCGAATTCATACCTTAGTTGTTGAAAATATTCATTGTTGTAAAAATATTTTAAAGCAATGTACCTCTCCGTTTCTAAATCAGAAGACATCTCAGATGATTCCTTTCCAGAGCGAGCAGCCATTCGTGCCATTTTCTTTGACATTTTTCTCGACCTGTAACAAGAACAAAATCTTAATCAGGAAGAAATGTAGGTTCTAAAATATATTCTTCTACTATTCACCTTGTCAATAGTCTTTTTAAAACAAATTTATAACTATTCAAAATTCTATTTTTTGAAACTAAAATTTAAGAAAAAACCTTCAAGTCAATATTCACTTTCCATTAGGAGGGTGCGTCACATAACATGACATTATTTGTATATTAAAATATAATTCATGGATATTGAATTCAGTAAGGAGAGAGACGTCATGTTTCCGTAATTGAATTCAATTTCTAACACCAACTTATAATAGCAGTCGGTTGGCAATTATGTTTATAAATACATTTTTGCTGTTGATTAATATGCAAAACATATATGATATTATAAACATTTTATCAGTTGAACACATCAATGATCATATTATATATATGACCCTCATTGAACATCATAAACTTCAGGTACCTGATAAGTTTGTTTATTTTTTGGTTATTTTTCTCTCTCAATATTTTCATGCTTAAACTAACAGGATGATAAACATTATTGGTGGTCTCGTTCTTTTGGACAATATTTATAACTCAATAATTACCTGACTTAAATGAACTTTGGTAGTTCTTATGTAAAATAAACTGTTCCGTAGAAAAAGTAATGAGATCTAAACGCGATGTAAATGGCTTGTCGGAGGACCTATGGTTAAACAGACTGTGAATATCTGAGCGATCTTACTAGAAACTTAAAGAAATATCCTGTACATTTAATTTTAGAATAACCCCTTACATTTAATTTTATTATGACAATAACGTTTCTTTTATTTCAAAGAGTATCCTTTACATTTTTATTTTAGCATGATAAAACTATCCTTTGTAAATTTTATTTTAGAATGACCAATGAGTTTCCCAGACTTTAGTTTGTCATTTTAAAATGACCATATTCGGTTCTTAACGATCTATATTTATATGTTAGTGCCAGCCATGGATAAACAAGAAGTATCTTTTAACCAATTACCCGATATACACGCCTTTTTCACCCCCCCCCCTTTTATTGTTGTCTCATTAATGTTGAAAAAAATGCCTTATTTAGGCCCCCAACACTTGTTTTTTATTTGAGAAATGTTGTTTTTACAGAGTGACCTCTCTTTAGGCGCGGTCCCCAACTAAAAGATACAACCGGGGTTGCCAGAAGGGGGGGGGGGGTGGGTGTGCCTGTTTTGGGGGGTTTGAAAGGGGGCGGTAATCCCCCTCATCGCCAAAAAATTTTTGGACTTGTGAGAGGCTAAAAATGACCCTAGATCGATCATAAGGTAACGTGTTACCAACGCTGGAAAGCATTTAATTCTATCTCAATCCATTGAGAAGTTGTAGCATCTTGAAATCAATTTTGATGGAAAAAAATCAACGCAAAATAGTGATTTTTGGCAATTTTGAGATGTCTCCACGTTGCCATGGTAACAGGAAATTTAAGCCTGTGCATGTTGTTACAAAGGCAATGATCCAGTCAACATTTCTGTCAAGTTTGATGAGTAATGAAGCAGTTTCTATAGTTTTATAGCAAATTTGCGCTTGTAACGGGAGACTTTTCAATAAAAACAGCCATTTTTCACAAAATGCTTATGAAGTAATTGGTTAAAACAGTACTCGGCCGAAGAAAAACTGTTAAACCTGCAAAATGATATTATATCTTAAGTTTTCAACACAATTAGAAATGTTGGCAATGCTTGTATAACAATGACAGTTAATTATTTATTGTAGCTATTAAGAAAATACCCATTTTGTAAACATTGAAATTAAATTATAGCATTATTGATATTGATGATTTTTCAAAGATGAACAACTTCTATTTCAGGTATCCCTTTTACTTGTTTTACTTTGACTTATAAATTTTGTAATCATTTCCATATTAACCTTAGAACTATCCTCATTCCTGTACATTTTTTTAGAACTATCCTTTACATTTTATTATATAGTGGCAAAACTATCCCTTTCATTTTATCATAAAGCTATATATCCTTAAAATTAATTTTTAGAATGGTAAGAACTATCCTCCACATTTTATTTTGGAATGGTTAGAACTGTCCTTTGCATTTTATTTTAGAATGACCAATTAGATTTACCATTTCAGTTTGTACTTTTAAAATGACCAATGAAAATTCTTCTTATATTCAATCCTTCCCTGTTAATTTTACAGGTTATACTAGTAAACGAAAAAGCAGTAACTAATCTTCATTTAGGACTTAAAAAAAATGAAAGCAGTGATTTTCTTGCTTAAATAACATACTCGATAAAAAAGCCTCTTTCTTTAAATCTTGCAGTTTTCCCAAATTTCTGAATTTACACCTGCTTTTTTACTTCCCAAATTAGCAAATTCCCAAATTAGCAATTTTACAAAATCAATAGGCTAAGACCTCTTCCCAATTAAGTGAGAAAAATCACTGGAAAGGGATGGCGAATTTATTTGTTCCACTGGGAGATCGTTTCAATTAATCTAAGATGGTAAAAACAGTTGATTTTGACAGAATATATTTCTAGTGTTCCTTGCTTTTCGTACAGTAAATTGTACTCTGCATTTTGTAGGTGCTACATATTGTGACGCATTTAGAAAGATATCGTGGGATCGAATATTTTGTATAAAAACGCATTTAAATTCCAAATGAAATGTGTATATGTCAATCCTAGCACATGAACATGTTTATCATATACAAAATATAGATCCTATCCCCCCAATTTTTTTTTATATAAATTTTTTTTTTTATATTTTAACGTCTAAAATATTACAGACAGTAGGTTTGGATATCGTTAAGAACGAAACGATATGACACGATACAGATACTTGTGAAACGATACGGTATCTTATCGATACCGATACTCTATAGACACTAAAATGAATTGTGATGAAACTGAGAAACAATATGAATAGAAACCAGAAAAAAAGAGGAAGACAAAAACGAAAAAAGACAGAAAACTCACTGATGTTGTTGACATACAAAGGCGGCGATTACAAATCAAAGGGGAAGAACTATGCATTATCTTTTTTACTGAATTTAATTGTAAACAAAGAGGAAGACAAAACAGTGATTAATCTAGATGTGCGTCTTACGAAAATACGCATAAAAATCGAAACAGACGCACAGTTTCAAAATATGTTCGTTGAATTTAACGCATGCAAATCTGGTCGTTTATAATCCAAAATATCACGATTAGTGATTTCTATGTACCGTTTGATTACTTTAATTTCATCAGTTGAATAATGTATCATTTTTTTCAGTTGAATAATTTAATTTCAATGATTACAGGTGCAAGACAGTCTTGCACCTGTAATCATTGGATATTAAATTAAATTAAATTAGTTTGACTAATCCCCCATTTGCTCAAAACGTTAAATCCCAAGCAATTGATGCTTGTGATCGGTAACCGCCCATTATCGGCATTAGCCAATCAAAGCGTCCATTTTGCATAAGAGCGAATCGCCTACAATAGTAAAATATAAAACGAAGTAGAGGGAGGGATCTGCCTGCGCTATTGGCGCTAAAAAATGAGAATGACACAGGAAAGCGTCAGCAAAGGGCCAAAGGCGCATCTAAAATCTGTGCTAGACTTATATTGTATGTTATTTAGTCATCCAGACAATACTGATACCAACAGCAACAGGTTACCCATTCCCCTGTAATTCCGCATATTCTTGAGTTTATCCATTTCCCTGTAGCATTTTTCTAAGTTATCTACTTACCTAATCCCTTTCCCACACATGAAGATACGCATTTCTACTACTGCATTTCTACTCCAATAAAACATACTACTGCATTTCTACTCCAATAAAACAAACAAAAAATCATAAATCTACTTAATATTTAAAATAATTATCGGTAACTGAAAAAAAGTGTTGCTATTTTAAGAAATGCTGTCAGTTACAGTATAATCTGACAAGCGCGCAATTTGATTACCCCTCAAGTTCACGCAGAGTGTAAAAAAAGATATATTACGTCATCTATATTTGACAGGGTGATTAACCAATCGCGAAGCATTGTGCATGACTTTTTTTCATGATCAAACTGTCTGTGTATGCTTTCTACACATACAAGGAGCAATAAAAGTCGTCGGTATACAGTGTGACAGGGACATTTTGTGCAAATTACGAACAATTAAAATGGATAGAGATAAGTGGTAAGAAAATATAAATTATGCAAATTAGATTTTTGAGCAGCCGATAAAAATTGTTTTGCCTGCAGTTAATATTAGTACCAAAAATAACTTTTTTATACACTTATTTTATTACTTAATTCCTTGTTATAAAAAACATGCAATTCATGTCAAGGATCTGCTATTTTAAAAAAAATTCTGCTAAGACGCATTTATTTAGCTTCAGGACGTCATCCGACGCATTGTAAGGAATTTCTAGAATAATCACTGCAAAAACGAAAAAAAAAAGAAGAAAAAAATGAAGAAAGAAAACTCACTAATGTTGTTGACATACAATGAAGGCGATTACAAATCAAAGGGGAAGAACTATGCATTATCTATTTTACTGAATTCAATACACGAAAAAAGATAGTGTCGATTCGAGTCAATGGCGGAGCTCTTTTTTCTTTTTTGATTTTCTTTTATTGTTTTTTTATGCGGTACAATACCAGGGAAGATTTAGTATTTGAAAAGTTTTTTACTTGGGATAATCATCGCCGGTACCAAGCGCCCAAAAGTGTAAGTTATAAGTTTTGCAAGTTCTTTGTGTTTGTTGCAAATATAGCATTCCACTGTACTATATAACAGATTTTTAACTGGATTTACTATTCATGAAATGTGCGTGCATAAAACCTTGCAAAAAATTTTACTTTGTGTTTATAAATTTAACACATTCAAGGTAAATATTCTCTTTTTTTGTAAATTTTATGTAATCAACAACTTGGAAGTGTAATCGGAAATTGTTCATCATAACCTTGCGTCCTTTGGCGGATTTTCCGCAAAATCCTTTTTTAGAAACATGAAAAATTCCCGGGAAAAAGTGAATATACTCTGATATTGACGCAAAAACGAAACAGAAAGTAGAGAGGATATTAGATGTGAAATAAAAGTTTTCTCTAGTACTAACGTATTACAAACTTCGTTAGGGACAGCTATCTTACATTATTTCTAAACATGTCACTTTATATGAATCTAAATTTAGGGGGGTTATAAAACAATATATATAAATAGACCATATCAATCGGCCTTTTTTAAAACAAAGAAATAATCATAAACAGTTTTTATTTTTTTGGGTCGTCAGACCAAACAAATAATGGTAGCGAATTTTCAGACTCTAATGCTGTTAATTGCAAATGCCGAAAGTAGTCCGCTTTTTTGAAGTGGTTACTTCCCTTTATATGTAACACTAAGGCCGACAAATTCAGGGGAGATCACTGCGTAAATATGGTCACATGACAGGCGCATTAATTTTCAAGCAAAATAATTCCCGAATGGTCGAAGATTTCTAATATTGTTTTATTCTTTATAGATATACATGCTTATAGTAAGCGCCATGATTATTTACACAAGTGTTAAACAACAGTTATCGTCGTTACAAACCCTAATTTAGAATAATACGGTTTTCTTCAGGCCGTTAACACATAGATTCACCGTGGCCGAGGGGTTTGCGCACTCGCTTAGGAAGCGAGAGGTTTGGAGTTCAAATCCCAGTTAAAGCAACTCATTTTTGTTTTCAAATTGTTTAAATCAAATAAACATTGAATTGAATATCAGTGTTGCAATTAGTCTTATAGCCAATCTACTACAATTAAAACGATGGAAAGCATTGGTGGCACTATACAAAAACAAATTGTTTTATAATCTCACAATCTTCACCTTTCTGACATTCTGAGACCCAAACAAATTCAGAGCCTTCTGTGCTTTGATTGTATGAAATGGCTTTGATCATCAGATTCTTCTATTTGCTATTTTCACATGACTTGTGATTTTGTCAATGTACATAAAGGGGAAAATAATACAGGGCTCTCGTTAGCATTTTGAGACTGGGGCCAGAGTCCGGGGGGATTTCAAATATTTTTCATTCTAGGGTGAATTTAAACAGAAGAAAATTAATTCATTAAAAACCAAGTGAAAACAAGATTCATTTAACAAATTTATCAACAATAAGCTGCTAGCTGCTGTCATAAAATATTTCCGTTATTTGTAATAAAATTGAATACATCTTTGATACTTTGTATAAAACTTCAGCTTCAAAATGTGATCCCTGATCTATGGCCGTTAAATCTTATTTTCGAAGGGGAATTTTTCAGTTTTAGGAGGAAAAACACACTATTTAAATGGGGGAATGGGGCCATATTCGGCCTCAAATTTTACCAAACGAGTTCAACAAGTACAAAATAGAAAGTATATGAGGTATTGAAATAAAATAAATGCGTACTCTTACAAGAACATTTTAATTAAATATCAGTGGCATACACACATATAGGCATTTTATTTTCTTGAATTTTAACTTTTACGTTTATTATCTGAATTAAAAACATGGGAAATACACAAGCAAGCATAAAACAGAAAGTAGCTATATTTTAATGAAAAAGGAAAGGAAATAAATGAATAAAATGAAAGTTTCCTACTCTAAAAGATACCTGAAATATTGTTCTTGTTATTAAAAGGTATCTCTGAGTAAAGTATCTTATTTAGAATAATTTCTTAGAAAAGAAAAATGTAACATTAAATACCTTATTGAGTCTGACATAGCATCTATCGTGTTAAATCATATCTATTTAACGATTAAGATTTAAACCCACCTAATTATAGATAAATAGAGGATATTTGTTTAGTTCAGTGTAAGATCGGAATATATTTCACCGAGTGAGCACCAAAAGGTATATTTCACGAGTGGCGCAGCAACGAGTGAAATATGAACAAGGTGAAATATATTTCGATCTTACACTAAACTAAACAAATTTTCTTTTTATTATACGCAAAGAAACGTTTTCAAAAGACATTAAACCTAATACTGAATGAAAAGCGCGCCAAATAATAATACAACGTGACGTCATTTACGACGTCACGTCATTAAGTTGGTACCCAGTACTGTGCACGCTTGTATTTCACTCGAACAACGTAAGGGGCTTAAATTCAAAACAGTGAAATTATCAAAGTGGTAATTTCACTGCTTCAAACAGTGAAATTACCAGTTTTATATTACTGATATATTTCTATAAACCACCGAAAAGCATGTAATATAAAGCTATAAATAGGCTTGGGTTTTTTTTATTTGGAAAACCGATGTGGAAAGTACTAGGAAAAATGTATAAATTGATTCTTGCGTAAATTGATGGTTCTAATGAACTTAAATATAATTTATAAATGCCTTAGACTTTGCACTTTTGTTTATCGTACTTATTTCTAAACAGTCAATCTTGCTAAATCTGGTTTATAAAACCTTTTCTATTTATAGACCATATCACTTGGCCTAACAAACAATAAATAACCATAATATATTTTCTATGAAATGACTTTGATCTTCAAATTCTTCCGATTATTTATTATTTTATTATGACTTGTGATTTTGCCAATACACACAAAGAAGAAAATATTTTATTGCAAAGATCTTAAAAACGTACAAACAGAAAGTAGATGATGAGGTATTTAAATAAAACAATTGTGTAGTCTTGCAAGAAATGTTAATTAGATATCACCGGCATATGTACATATAGGCATTTTATGTTCTACTTTTACGTTAAATATCTGAATGAAAAACATATTGAAAAAAAAAATAACAACCACGAAACAGAAAGTAGCTACAGAAATAACAAGAAAAGTAAATGAAAGTTTCCTACATCAAAACAGTACCTTGAATATTGTACTTATGTTATAAAAACAAAAACATATCTCTGAGAAATGTATCTTATTAAGCATAAATTTATACGAAAGATAAAGTAAAATTAATTACCTTCTTGAGTCAGACATAGCATCTATCGTTTACGAATTTGCGGTTAACAATATCTAAATTTAGATTGTGAAGTCATATCTATGTATAGGTATAAATAGAAATAATCTTAGACGAATTTTGATATACTGCTCTCTAACGTTCATTTTTTTAACTATATTGTTGACAAAATTAAAAATATTTATTAATAAAGTTCAGGATTTTAGGCAAGATTTATGAGCAGATTTTTACTTATTCTTAAAGAGTAACAATTTTAGACTTTTTTCGTGTGTGTGTGTGTGTGGGGGGGGGGTGTTGTGTTTGTTTTCGTTTGTTTTATAATTTAAATCATAACATGTACACTGAAACACTTACACCGATTTTTCTTACTCGTAACTACTTTATACCGAAAATAACCCTTGTCATAATGGAGATATAATTTTAGTATTAGTAAGGACCGGGTCAAACCTATCTTATATACTAGAGTAAATTAAAGCGTTTAAAGCAAATCACGAGACGTTTTGTGAGATACTAGCATTTAATAATCGATACTGCAGTATAGCTTTCAGCAGCTCAGTGGTGTTAAACATACTTCCTGACTGTAATAGAAAATCATTATCTTATCTGGCTACAGGAAGATGAAATAGTAATACAGGCACAGATCCACTACGGGTTGACACACCACCTCGCAGACACCATGACCCTGGTCTGTTGAGTTTATTCTATAGTAAAACTAAATATGGCATAAGATATTTTAAGTCTTGTTAATTGGAGTCTGGGACCCTGCAAAAAATACCATCCTCAAAAAACAGTTAAGGAAATATAGTTATATTATAAATGATTAAGCGATATGAATGGGAAAATTAATAAAGCAAGGGCTTATTTAATTACACATGACACGGAATCAATGACTCTGGTGTAATTTTAACGAATTTTAAATGTAAACATGCCACCTGAGTTACATCTCAAAATGCTTAATAATACAGTTGTTTTGTACAATTTTGTCGGGTTTTTCATGTTAAAAATTGAGTGTAGAAAATACTTAAAATAATGAAAAACATCTTTATTGCACTTTTGCCTTCCATTACAAACTCAAGGCCAAGACCTTTTTATCTATATACATATGTTCTTACTAAACTATAAATGTTGTAAAGCCAAAATATTTTCATTTAATTAAATATCATCAAAGATTTCATATCGAATGTTAGAATTGTATACAAATAATACATATGTATATATTTATTCCGCCAGCGAGTCTCAAATCAGTACCCAGCTCCATAAAGTATGACCAGATTCTGTTGTTTTCCGATAAAACCACGCAGCAAAATTATATCTTCCATAAATTAATGAATGTTTGTTTGTTTGTTTCATTTTACGCCTTTTTCCAACAGTATTTCAGTCATATAGGCGGGTAGTCTCCTAACCATCGTTCCTGGAGAGTTACACCAGTACTAGACTACCTTCCTCCGCTCTAAACTACCAAAGCATCTCCCGGGGATCGAAATTAATGAAACTTGTAAACTTTCGGCTGTCCACCTTTCATTGATTGATATACTTTTCATATACTATGAAATAATATAATCATTAAATACACACATAAAAACAAACACATTTTATATTAGCTATGTTAAGAGACAACATATATGAAAAGTAGCTAATGCAAGAGTTTAATTTCTTCCTTGTCCCTAAGATTAGCATTGTGTGAGAGAGGAATGCATCGTTTATCACAAATTAAAACACTAACAAATGAAAGAAATAGATGGGTATAATCGAGCAAAATATAAAATAAAATAAAAAAACTACAAAATATGTATAAAAAAATAAAATTAAAAATTAAATTTGAGAATTTAAAAATTCAATCCATTCAAACAATAATTTAGATAAAAAAAAGAGGAATGAAAACAATTTGAAGTTTTTGTACATTAAATCAACTGTTAATCAGCCTGAAAACACGAAAAAGTAGACATTGAGATAAGTCTTATGAATATTTAATCCTACTCTCGGAGTTATTTTCTTAACCAAAAACTTAGTACAGTAAGATTAGAAATACCTCGATTAATAAAGTTTATTTGAATTAAAACCAGAATGTACGAAATCTGAAAACAAATTAGTGTGAATTTAATTAAGCTAAAGTGAGGTAACGGTGACATTTCACTTACCTAAGGACTAAGTATACATTACTACTTAAGTATACATTACACTTACACAACATTTCTAAAATTCCGGGTATCAATAGTGACCACTAAGTATACATTACACTTATACAACATTTCTAAAATTCCGGGTATCTATAATGACCACAGTAGAAAAAGACATGATTGTCTGATCACAAACAAAAGAAACTAAACTTTGATCTAGTGCTACAATTATTGAAGTAAAGTAATGCAACGAAATATAGTCTGTGAAATAAGAAACGATATTGCCTATATTTCTGTAAAATCAGAAGCAATATTTGCTTTATTGATATTTACAATCAGTACTTTTATACAAATGTGATCCTTATAGATTTAAATAATGTTTTAAAGTTAAGATGCAGAATTGAACCAGAAAGTCGGAGCACAATAAAATGACATTAAATTAAAGACATGACTAGTCAATATAGAAACACAGGTTGTATCTTTTTCTATAAAGTCTGGAATAAGCCTTTTGTACAAGTAATAGCTGTATCTATATTTTAACGATGCATATGACTGAGATAACAAAATTAGCATTAAGGTTTAACTCGTTGCTCAGGTCAGATGCAAAAAATTGGTTCAATGTCAGTTCAAACTAAATGTGATAGTTTCTAAGCCTACTGGATGTCTTTTTATTGTGACACCATGTCCTCTAACGTGTTCCTGTATGTTTGAATTATATGTGAAAGGCTTCGATTTTGCAGAATCCGATCCAATTTTATTATCATTTTTCGGAAAATAAAAGTGTATACGTAAAGTTTCAGATATATCGATTGGATTTTTGAAAGAAATTTCATTATCTTGCTTTTTATAATCAGAAATGACTGTTCCATTTAAAATTACTTTTTTGACATCTCCCACAAATGTTCCAGAGACGGATTTTATTTTAACAGATTTACTGCTTATGTGACAATATGCGAAATTACTTGACGTTGGACGAACAGAATCAGTACCCCCTTCTATTTCCAAAAAGCAACCGCCGAATATTCCATCACTTTTATCCTGTCGCTGTAGATATTGCTTTAGGTTTATCGTAACTTGTATCCCTGATCTTTTGTCTTTTATGAAATTTTCCACATGAGACGATGGGAACGAGCCTTCTGTTGCTATATACGGATACAAATTCAATAACTCTTCCTTGGTTAGTATGTTAGCCGGATGAACAATTTTGGCAAAGTCTTCTATCGGCTTAATCGGAAATCTAATCTGAAACAATGCTTCTCCAAGTTGATCACGCAAATTGTGTTCAACTGTGGGGTTGCTCTTGTTATCACGGTTGTGTGTTGCCCATCTAACCGCTGCTTTAAATACATCAACTTCATTGCATAATAATTCCTCTCTTTTAATAACATTCATCAACGATGCAAATGCTATTTCTAAAAAGCCTGGCGATGCAAAGACTTCTTCTGCGTTTTCAATAATAAATGATAGACATCTCTCCTGTAGGGGTTTTAGTTCGTACATGATGGCTTCCTCATTGACCTGACAGACATTATTCACGTCAAGGCTATTTCCAAGAAATTCGGAGCATTTTTCAACAAGACCTGGTAAATGGTACTTTTATGCTGTATACAAACAAGGATAAACATTTTCCATGTCAATCTCTGGCTTGTCGTTGTAGACAAATATGAAAAAATAACAGAAGAACTCAAAATGTCGTATAAAGTACATCTAAGTTACGTCTCTAGAATTGATTAAAAAGTAGCATGTATTGTTGCATCTTTGTTATAAGTACATGCATTTTGTCAACTGAAATGAACGATTTGAAATAGAGGTCTTATTTCCGAGAGTAAAGTTTTAGTCTATAAAGATAGTTCTCGCATTTCTACCTTAAAAATAATTAGACGTAGGGCACACTATTGGGCGCAATTATATCAATATCTGAACTATTATTTTAGATTGTAAAGTTATCATGCTCAACATTATGTTCTAAACATTTTGTTTGCTATATTCACCTTAAAACAGTCTTCATCACGTCCGGTTCAACATCTTCAATTAACACCGTTTCTCCTCCTTCTGCAAGAGAACCATAAAACATGGCTTCAAACACTTTACTGCGCATGCTTAGTATAATTTTATGAACCGGAATTTTCACACTTTTATCTGTGCTGAAGGTAAAGCTCATGTCTGAAAGATGTTTTGAGAGACAAAGGTGCGATAAACATTGCGAAACGGTACTTGTTTCCCTGCAGTATATTCCGTGTGACCTGTGAGAAAAGAAGTATACATAGTCTTTAGCCATCCTAATCAAGATATGCTTTATACAAAAAGCATTGTCTTCGCGAGTACAAGTAAGGAAAAAATATCAAAAAAACGATCAGATGCTCAATAGGTAGAGCATTGGACTGTGAATCGGGCGAAACGAGTTCGATTCCCAGACGTGGCAGGTAACTTTCCTCGTGGTTGAAAATAAAATCTTTTATACGGTAATTCGCATTGTATCTCTGCTCTAGCATGTACATTGCGATAGGGGAAGCAACTAATACTGGTAAACTGTTTTACATCCTGCCCAAGAACGATGTGGAGCCTGAACTGTTCTCTAGTAAATTTAATGTGGCTTACTGCCGTGATCCGGAGTGAAAACTACCAACACCAACACCAAATATTAGAATGTTCGGCAATTGGAGGGGGAGCTCGAGCCAATTGTGCCCCCTATTCAACGAATCCATATCTTAGCATTTGAATCTATTAAAATAATACCTTTCTTTTCCTAAATAGGGAGGTGGTTCATTTGACGATCTACCAGCATCATCAGTCATCTTAGCCTTTTTGACAGATCTGTTACAAACAAAAACAAAATAAATAAAATAAAACATGTAAAAAGATATAGATATAAATAAATAAATAAATAAATAAATAAATAAATAAATAAATAAATAAATAAATAAATAAATAGAATAATGAATAAATAAATAGAAAAATAAATACAAAGTAAATAAATAAAAGTGAAAATAAAATAAAATAAATAAGTAAATATAAGAAAAATATCAGCAACATCAAAAGAAATGAGAGCCCCCCCCCCCCAAAAAAAAGCAAAAAAGAAAAAACAAAACATTAATTTCTCAGTTAAATATACCGTTTAGTCATCCGAAAATAATTAAAGCTTCTTAACGCTTAAACTCTGAGAAATCAACAGGTTTTGACTACTTATTAAATGAATGTTTTAAATGATGTTCTTGGACAACTCATTCTAAATAATCTTTTTAATAAAATATTTGATTTAAGTTACTTTAAACGGAAGGCTTTATTGTTCCATTTCAGTAAAAAGGTTAGAAAATGGCCCAAGTAATTATAGAGGACTAATTTTACTTTGGTAAATTATTTACAAAATTTGTAAATGATTGATTAAAAATTTGGACAGAAAAATTATCAGGTCTATATTGAAGCTCAATGGTTTAATAAGACAAATTTGGGAACTGTCGATAGTATTTTTGCTTTCCATGGCCTTATTACGTATATGTTGAATATCAATAAGAAACTATATGCTGGGTTTGTAGATTTTACTAACGTCCGGGCTTTTGAATATTTAATTCGAGATATTATATGATTTAAATTTAGTAGATATGGTGTAAGAGGTAAAATGCTAGACGTTATTTAATCAATGTTCGAAATGTGCGGTTTAGATTAAAATATCAAAATGTTTTGATTCTGTGTAAGGCGCCCACAAGAGGAGTCTTGATCACCTTTTTTTTCGCCATGTATCTTAATGGCACAGAAGACTATTTTGTCATGAATGCATTGCATGAGTTTATTTAGGTTTCTTTATATTTTTTACTTTTATATGCAGATGTTTTTTTGTAAAATTACTGTGGTAAGTGGAAATTAAATGTTTATATTAAGAAAAGTACAATTATGATTTTCAGAAAATACAGTCTAAGGCATAACAGTCTTTAAAAGTCTTTACAACTGGTGTTTTTTTAATACTGCTTTTAAAACACTATTTGGTCAGGCTTTGAAGGCAGTATAGAAATTACAACTAGATTTGATTGTAATCCCATGTATAACTTTTAAACGTAAACTAGACTTTTTTTGATAAATTAATCTCACCAATTTTGATCTATGCTTCAGAGGTTAAGGATACAAATGATTGTTGTAAATTAGAAAAGTTCATTTAATGTTTGTAAAAAAATGTAAGACGTCAAAGTACAAACTTAGAACAATTTAATTTATGGCGAACAAGGAAGAACCAGTTTGAAATGCAAAAGAATTGTAAGTGTTATAAAATATTGGCTTAACATTTTACAGCTTAAAGATGAAAAATATGTAAAAACAGTTTGATATATTGTGCAGGGAGTTACATGTAAGATATAACGAAGAACAGGTGTTAGAAGTGTTAGATTTATTACAGTCACTTGGTTTTAATGATGTATGGTTATCTCAAGGTGTAGAGAATATCAATGTTTTTTATTAGATTTGTAAAACAAAGATAAATTGATGTTTTTGTCCAAAATTGTTTTTTTTTAGAATTAAATGATTCAACTTGGCTCGTTCTTCTGTATTATTTGCATATTCTAAATTTCAAAAGTACTTAAACTGTTTTAATATTGAAACCTTTAGATATTCACTGTCCCGGCTTAGAGTTTCTTTGAAAAGACTTGAGATTGTAACTGGCAGGAGGAAAAACCTAGTGTTATATCGTTTGATAATAGGAAAATGAATAGAAGATGAATTAACTTAAGTTTAGAATGTTCGCTATCTGCTGATATACGAAAGCAAAAAAAAAATAAAATCATTTTTGGAAAAGGCCAAAGATGCCTAAATTTATTGCATTTAATAAACTGAATGAAATAGAAATAGAAATAAGAGACTTATTTATGTATATCTTTAAAGCATTCGATGTCCGAAACACTATTCTTTCCATTGAATCAAGAGTTTGTCCCAGACGCTGTTTGTCTTTTTTTGTGTTAACACCCTCATTGATAGGATGTTATTTGTCCTTATCAGTATTATAACTTGAGATATGTTGAAATTTGTGTCACAATGTGATTGTGGATTCTATTCTTAGTTAATATATTCTTACTACTAAAATACTGTTAAACTAAATACTTATATATGTTTTTTTAAAGTATTGACATTGATCATTTGACTATTTGACTGTATTATATGCTTATTTGTTATACGCACTGTGTACGCATTGGCATATTGCCTAGATGTATTTTGAAATAAACTCTAGAAACCCTTTTAATCAGAAAAAATAGACTAAACAAAGTAATCACAATTATAAACAGTTAAATTATATTTCTATATCTTTCTGACATACAACAAGAAAACAATTGCATCATTTATCATGCATCACACATTAACGGTGTCGTTGTACATTTATCTGTCAATCAGCCATGACAAGGTGTAAATAACGGTGACAACGAAATTGTGATTAATTTTGATATAATGCTTTATAGACATTAATTACATCGGCAAATGCTTTATTTACAGCAGTATATGAAGTGTCTTATAACTTATGATAAGCTCTAATCGAGTATGATATAAACAAATATTTCCATTTGATTTAAAGGGGTATATTAAGATCTGACGTAATATTCTTTATAGTATAATTTATTATAAATGTGAGTTCTCCTTTCTAAAATAATATATCCGGATAAAAATTATATCGTGATATATCTGGATAAAACATATGGAAATTACACAAACGAGCGATAAACAGAAAATAGGAAAATTGAAAAAAAAATGAAAAGCACAAACTTTCTAAATTTTAATAATTGTAAATTTAATATTCTACTTATTATAATTAGTATGTCGTAGGTAACACAATCTTATATAACGTAACTATTGCCAACAAAATAAACTTACCTTTCAGAATTAGCCATTACACTGATTATCTGTTTCTAAATTTAGCTTATAAATCATATCTACTTTTGTAATAAAACCGGTTTTGATATTCAAACCTAACTATTAACAACTAATCAATCAATATCCAATTACTCAACATTGTCGAAGTTTTAAAAGGGTTATTTCGTATTGATTAAGGCTTTTGAAATGTAACTATTATAAAGTAAACAGGAGCTCCGTTCTGTCCTATCATACTTCTTACACAGCATTAAGTAAATTTCAAATAAAATTTTCAACTAATGATTGCGTATTTTTCGAAAATAAAGCATGAAAAGAATCAATGAATTATCAGAAAAAATGAACGATACAATGTTGGGAAGGAAATTAATTTTAGGATCAAAATTAAATGGTAAAGTAGAACACTGCAAGTCGGATGTATCGCCTTGTCAACAGTTTAGCTGTTAGTTAGGCAGTTTCTTCTTGTAAATAGGTTAGTTATAAGCACTGTTTTTGCAATATACATGTATCTTTAACTTTAGTAACAATGTTACGCCAGGATTACTTAAACTGTTAGATTATCAAAAATAAAATCATAAAATGGAAAGGTTCTACACTGACAGATCAAATGAAGGACTCTGTGACAGTTTTTGTGCACTGCACTTCCGGTCAATGAAAAGAGCTTGCATATCGATTTGGAGACAATCAAACTTATAGTGTTCAAATTATGGTCAGGACAAGCCTGAAGTATGAAAATTAACAAAGGGCAATATTTGAACAATAATGAAGTGCAAAGTACAAGTTTTTGTGCACTGCAATTGTTCGTAATAAGATCCACCATCCTATTAAGTTTCAAGTCAATAGCTTTTAAAAAGTAGGATAATTGGCCGGTACACAAATAAAGTATGAAAATAAATAAGAAAAATAATAAGGTACCGAGTACCGGTTCTTGTGCACTGCACTTTTTCTCAATGAGATCTATCAACCTATGAAGTTTCATATCCATAGATTTTATACTTAAGGAGAAATAGCCTGGAAAATAAAGTATGAACATTAACAAAGGGCAATAACGCAAAGCGAATGAATTGCAGAATATAAATTATTGTACACGGCACTTTGTCAAACTGAAGTTTCAAGTCAATAGCTTTTAAAGTGTTGAGATTTTGCCCGATGATATTTAAAGTATAAAAATTAACAAAGGGCAATAACTAAAAAAATCATAAGGTACTAAGTACTGGTTCATGTTTACTACACTTGTCCTCAACGAGATCTTGTATCCTATGAAGTTTCAAGTCCTTAACTTTTACAGTTTGGGAGAAATGGCCCGAACAGAAAAAAGTATGAAATTAACAAAGGGTAATAACTCGAATAATATGTGCAGGGTAACGATTCTTATGCAATGCACTTTAGGTAATTAAAAAAGGCATGCATACCAAGTTTGGAGTAAATCTTTTTTTCAAGGCGACACAAAAAGAAATTGCTTGTTTTCATAAGTTCAGCTTGGAAAATAAATAGCGAAGAATAATGTTTTTAAACATGGCCAAAAGACTTTCTCTCTGTTTCTATATTATAATCGGTCTTTATTTCAGTAATGACTACAGGTACTTTTATATAATTCTTACCGATGTTGTTTTTTTTCTAATGGAATTGGATAAGTCTTTCACTTTTACCGATAATTAAGTGTCCTTTCTGACTACAATTTACAAAAATGCAATCCCTCATTAACTTTCAAAACGGCAAGACTGAAAATGTTACAGGCTTGGTTTGATTAAACCTAGTCATGGACGGTATAAGAATCTGCAAGCTAAAGTATGCTAAATTAACTGACATAGAATTTTGGGAGGAAATCAGAAATTATAAAGCATGCTTATCACAGATAAGACGTAGAAAGGCAAACAAGTCAGACAACATATCTTAAAGGTGATTAAACAGTATTCAAGAGGAATTCTGGAAGAATCAAAGTAGAAGAAAGTTCATATAGAAGAAACTAACAATAAAATAAACATTTACACATGACAACAATGTCGTGCTGAACGATCACCAAGGATAAAAAATATAACAGCTTTGATTATACATATATATATACATAATACTGAGTTGGCAGTTAAATAGATAAAAAAAGGAAATCCAAAATGGCAAAATTGAACATGGTGCAGGCTTGAATGTTTGATCATATTTATAGACGGTACTGAAATATGCAAGCTACAGTTTATAAGACAAGAATCTGCAAGAAAAAAAACCCGGAAAATTAGATTTGTATTACAATTTGTGTTGATATTATGAATCAGAAAAAAAGCTAAGGTAATACTATTGTTGATAAATGTTTCTCAAATTTCCATTTTCAGCACTATTGTAGCACCTTAGAACTCTCCAAAATGCACCAAATTGTCTATTGGTTTCAAAATTCTTCGATGGAGCGTGTATCCAGGTTATTTCACGAATCCACAGTGTAACTAGTCTAGCTACGCCTCTGATTAAAGTGGTCAAGTACTTTAACCAATATAATTATATAGATACAGTTTTGAGCATTGTTAGGGGAAGAGTGTTACAGGCGTATTTGGAAATATATACATTTTGACTACATATTATTTAAAAATCATGTTTTCAACAAAACAGGAAAACATAACCGTACAGGATAAAAAGATAATGAAAGTACAACAACCAAAACAAACAGTTCGGTTTGAGCTCACGTTCAATGAAATTTCCGTTTTCTCATTGAAAGTAATTTCTTTCTAGAAATGGGATTTTGCATTAGGCATTAACTTATAAGTTAAATATAATTTAAAGATACATAGTCACTACCAATTTCAGCAGGAATAGTATAGAGGAACTGTTGACATAAGAGACGAATATAGATAAGTGCGAAAACGATATTGGAATTATTTGTTAAAAAGAATGTGAATTAACTGAAAGTAAATTCATTTAATTTTAAATAAAATTTCAATGTTTGGCAATTTGTAAAAAGATATTCTATGAAAAGTATATGACAGACAATTTGGACAAAGTTTACATATTCTGTAGATAAACCGTGTAATAAATGGATTTTTTAAACCAATAAACGTGGAATATATTAATTGACAGATTGTTTCACTGACTTTGTAACAAAGTGCTGGAGATCTAGTCATGTCGTAACAAAAACCTGCACTTGCATTTTATTAAGATGGAATTACGTCAACAAACAGTTTCTTTACTATGAATTCATTGTGGTTTTACATTATTTAAGGTTTTATGACGAAAAGGGACCTCGTAGAAGAGGATTAAAATCTAATCGGTCAGATACATTATAACAAACAACAATCGTTGTCAGGACCTAGTGGTACATGGTGTCCTAATTCATATAAACGTAAGATTGATAACCTGTCGGCTCTCTTAACAATTGTTTAAGGTGCTAAACACATTAGCAAGAAGATGCAAACGAATTTTCTAGCGTCGCCAGAAAGGGGTTTACAGGAACGTTGCTGGAAGCTGTGTTATTGCTCTAAGCAAATGTAAGCATTTGATGCAGACAGAAAGATAACCAACTTGAAGTGCACGCTAAGAAAATGTACTACGAATCTATTCTATTGAATAGGTATATATTATATAGCGATTGATAGTGGAAGACCTACGATGCGTTTTTATTTTCAATTTTTAAAACTTGCTATTGATATCTTGTTTGCTTTTAAGAAAATGCTACTGTTTTCTAAAGCTACACAACAAAAACGTTTCGTTTTTGTACATTTGCAAACGCCGTTAATCATACATTAAGCAAGATACCAATAAGGACGACAACATAAGATGATTTGTTTTCGACTTTTGCCTTATTTAGAGCAAATCATAATATTTATTTATTATTATAAACAAAAAATTCTTCTACGGATCGTTTATTGACTCGTGTCCAAAAAATCGTAATTAATTTGTATGTCTGTCTCGTCTTGTTTCAGACTTGTCACACTTTTAATACTATTATATGATATTAATTGAGCTTAATATGCCATATGTTGTAGAGCAAATAGGATGAGCAAACATAGAAATGGACACAATAGATGCAACTTAAAATCAGTTGTTTAATTCCTTGGAGGACAAACTTGATTAAGAACTGATCCGACTACAGTAATGACACTACCATTGAATACGGAAACAAACATACTAGTAAAATAAAAGAAAACAACACAAAAATAATCATTCTTCTGCAAAAATACTCATTCATATGTATGTATTACAAATTACAATAACAAGTATTGAATATATACTAAATTACTAGAGTCCGCGCTGGCGTAGGTTTGAATTAAACGTGTTCTATGTATCAAACTGCAGCGTGACCATTGTTTTTACTAATTTATTACAAATTTTACATTAAAGATGACATGAAAAGCATTGAAAACCAACGGCCTTACTTTGCATAAGAACGAAAGTTTATATATGTCTTTTTTCACGGAAAGTATTCAGTGATATTATTATCTTTCATTGAATAATTGATTTTTTTATCAAAAAATTTAGATAAAAATGTATATAACATAGTACACAATTTATGTCACTCAATACTAACATTAAGATAGAGATCATGATTAAAAAATTACAACAATCGAAGTATTTATATATTTGTCTATAAAACGGATACAGAAATTGATCAAAGCTTTAAAACATGAAAAAGACTTAAGTCTGTAACATATATTGTATCTAATTATTCAATAATGAAACGACTGCCTACACCAAAAAATATTTCACCATTTTGTTTCAAAGAAAGTTGCCGCAAATGAAAAAAAAACTTGTACAGCTGCAAAATGTTAAGTGGATTATTCAATATTTGTCTGTAATCAGTATTATAGAGACAGATAAATCTACGAAAAGGTAAAACTTTTGGTTTACTGTTCCTGAAATACCTCCAACAATGTTTCATGTCTCCATCAGATGTAACTTTTCAGCAGATAAAGTGTTTTCATTATGTGGAATAGTTGCTGCTTTTTACCAAGAAAAAAACGTTTTTCACATAATTTGAATAATATGACCCAAACAGTTAAAGTAAATAGAATTATCCATTTTTAAATGCAGGGCATTTTTAACTTTTAAATGTTGTATTATTTAAGAAATGTAATGGATTCCGTCCCAGTAGGAAATTGCACAAGGGTGAAACAATTCTGATTGAAGTTAGAAATTTCAGGATAAAACATTTCCAATTCTTCTTCGTAATCATCAAGAGTATAACATGTTCTTCCTCTATTATTCTGGATGAACTGAACAATTTTCCCGTCCGACATTTCAATCGGTGTTTCAAAAAGTATCTTATTTCCCATAACTTTATAGCCTGTGACATTTATTCCTTGGTGAGTTATTCTTTTGACGTTCCTTGCAAACTTGCCAGTAATAGATTTCAGCATGAGAGAATTTTTGTTAAGTTTAAAAGTTAAACTTTTGTCATTAAATAATATCTCGTCTTCGTCAAGTTCACACATTAAATCCTCCACCTCAACATCTTGATGGAAAGTATTGTACCTGTCTCCGTGTGATGTGCACTGAACTTGCAATGAATAACCATTGTTGTTGACTCCTCGATATCGCTTGGAATTGACATGTTTCCTAAGATCAACTGTGAAGGTAGCTCCAGATCTGTTCTCATGTCTGAATGTTCCCAAAGGTGTTGACCCTTTAGTTGCGTTATACTGGTATAACATCAAAAGCTCTTCTTTGGTCAGTATTCCGGACGGGGCAACTACTTGCGCAAACTTTTCAATCGGTATTATCGGAAATCGTATCTGAAACACTGCTTCTTCAAGTTGACTGCGCATATTTTCTCCAATCTTGGACTTCTTGTTGACCTCACACTTGTGTTCTGCCCATCTCATTGCTGCTGTAAATACATCAATTTCATCGCTCGCTAATTCTTCACTTTTGAGAACATTTAACAATGTTACTTGTGATAAACTTAAAAAGCCTGGTGACGAAAATACACTTGTTGCGTTATCCACGATGAATGCAAGGCATCTTTCTCGTAGAGGTTTCATTTCATAAAAGACGGCGTGTTCATGGACCTGACAGACATTATTCACGTCGATGTTGTTTTCAAGAAATTCTGAACATTGTATAACAAGACCAGACAAGTTGTACTTTTTTGCAGTGTACAAGCAAGGTAATACATTGTCTCCGTTTATCGTTGGCTCATCGTCGTAAACAAACCTGGAGGGAAAAGTATCATAGGTCATTTTCATTATATTTTTATTAGAATGAAAATCTTTCATCTAATCATAATTAGTTGTAGAAAATGGTAATAAATTAGATGTGACAATACACTAAACTGTAGTTAATATACAAAAATCTATTATTAATACTAAAATTTCTTCACCACGTTATTAACAGTATTATAAACAAAAGTGTTAAAGCATTCAAAAGTGTGTGCACTTTACGTACTTTAATACAGTCTTCATAACCTCAGGTTCTATATCCTCAATTGTAACTGTTTTCCCTCCCTCTGAAAGTGAACCAAAAAACATGGCTTCAAAAACAGCACTCCGCATGCTCAGTACTAATTTATGGGCCGGAAGTTTTACATCTCTATAGGCGCTGAAGGTAAAGTTGATGTCTGAAAGTTGTTCCGAAAGACAAAGATGTGACAAGCATTGTGCGGCTGTCCTTGTGTCTCTCCAATTAATGTCAGGGGACCTGTTAATATTGAAATATCAAATCAAAGAATTTCATTCCATTGATGATAAAATGGTCCCTTAACTCGATTGAAATACGTTTATAGCGTATATTTGAATAAACATCTCAAATATCTCAAATTACAAAAGCTTTACTGAAAGAAGCACTCAAAGGAAATCAATGGTAACATAAGTGATAAAATCTATATATTGATTCCTTGTTAATATAACATTTCATTGTACTTATGTTCTTTGTTGTTAACTATATGATTAAATAGATGATGTTTTCTGATTTACCAAACTTTTATATTCTTATAATATTACGTTCTTGAAGCTATAATACCTTTCAATTCTCAGGTTAGAGAATGCTGCTGAAGGAGCCTTCTTGACAGTGCAAGGACGACAATATGCCATTTTTGCCTGAACTGAAATTAGGGAAATGATTTAGTACTTTTTGCCGTTCTTTTCTTCAGTGTGATAAATATGTCTTTTTACAAGTAGTGTTTTATGTTGTTCTTGAATTGAGACATAAATGATGGAAATGATGAAGGGCCAATATATACTTTGATATGATATGTATAAAAACTTAATGTTGAGATGCTCAAAGAACTGAAAGAGATTTCCACGACCAAGTGGACAAGGTCGATGAGCTCGAATCACATGTCCATCGCCGTTATTGGTTATAATCACAAAACATACCAATGTTGTGCACAGACGATTGATGGTGCTTCTCAGAACCCCGCACTTATGCTCAAATGGGCCCTTGTCGCAATCATTTTACAGTAAAAGGTAGAACGCTTTCCTTTAGTCATGATATGTACTCAACTTGTAATCATAGACAACATTTCAAAACAGACAATATTTAAAATATGGTTTCGGACAAAGGGAAGGTCTTTCAGATATCATATGTTCCGCTCAAAGTTCTTGCTTTAGGATGATGTAATTCATAAATTGAGAACGTTCAAGGATGTCGTAAGGTTACGTTTGAGGAATGTTATGAATTTATTAACTGAATATAATTAAATATGTTTGAAACCTAATACAGACACTATAGCAGTGCGTTTTATTAAAATATGACATAACGTTAAATTGTTATGTCATTTTAGTCTTTACAATGCATAGTTTTTAGGGATTTTGTGTCATAACTGGTATACACACTGAATCAAATTTCACTCGTATATTCTGAGACGGATCTTGGGAGCATATCAAATCTACCAATGTGAACGTTTTGAGTTTAATAACGATATTTATAAAGCATTTAAGTACTCTGAATAATCAATTTGCATGGATCTATCATTCAAAAAGCTATACATTATTTTTTGTACACTTTATATAAAGAGTAAAGTTATGAGTTGATTTTAAAGCGTGGAAATATTGTAATTATGCAGTTTTTTTTTAAACACTAACATTCCGGAATCTCAATTGCAATGAATGTTCCCCGTTAGAGTCGACTCATTTTACTGTTATAGCCGTATAATTATTTATTAAAGTTGATATCACAATAGTGTAATACCTTTTCACAATCCGCACAAAATGATCATTTTTGTCTCATTGTCTCTTAAAATGTTTACGGTAAAAAGTCTACATTACAAAATTGTTTAGTTTGTCTAAATTTTAAAGCACATATAAGTCTAATTTTCTAGATGTTAAATGAGTTAGGATACCATGTTATCTTATGAATGAGTAGTAGTATACTGCCCCCTACAGTCCAACTCAAAACAACAGTTCTTCAAGACGACGTCAATAAATTAACTATTATATTATTAAATGTATTCATACACGTGACATATTTCAATGATTCAGGAAAAAGGAAAAAATAACAAGGTCGACTTGATGTATAAAAGTGTAACATAATATTCAAATTTCAAATTTAACGAAAAGCAAGTGGATATAATGTATTAAAGATAAACCCATGTGTTCTTTACACTATCAATATCATTACTTAATGTTTTATATTTAACTATTTCATATTTTATATCTGAATCAAAACACGCCAATTACACAAACAAACATATCACAGAAAATAGATCTAGCGAAAAGCAAGGCAAATGAAAGCTGTTTTAAACTTTCAAAATGGACATGAACCATTTGAGTTTTTATCAAATACCAGTATATCTCATATTTACGTACATTAAAAAGCATAACTACATAAATACAAAAAGAAATTACCTTTTTTATATTACCAATCGCGCAGATTGCTCCACTAATTCCTTTTAAATGTGTTTTTAATCGTGTTTTTTACAGATATGTATCCCTGTTTGTTTAAATGAATAAACTTCGACAATACTTTGTAAACTTTAGTCGGATCATAAATGTCCTTGATATTTTATTATTTTGACACTATTCAGGATTCAATATTTCACGGTTGAGAATGTTATTCAAATTTCATAAAAGGAGGTTTATTTGCGTTTATATACTTTTTTATATGAAAACCAATATGAACTTGAATGAATTATTTTCTTTTTTTCATTTCAAAGCAATTATTCATATAGCTGTATAAAAAATAAATTTTATAAAGAACGTGTTTTCAGAATTGAGGAATAAATGACATAAGTCATTGTTAAGTTGAGTATGGGACTCTACAAAGACGTATGTCATTGATCATTGAGTCCAGCACTTTTAAGTGTTGAGAATTGAGTAACGCTCAAGCTGGTGCTAGGGGCGTTTTATTTAATTTTACCCATGACAAATGGTGCTATATCAGTCAAATATATGTCATTTTTGTGTATGAAAATAAAATATAAATATGAAAGTGGGCGGAGTCAAAACTCGTATTTACTTTAAGAGACTTCTTTCTCCATCTTGTTTGTAAAAATTGATAAATAAAAAAACAAAACTTTTTGTTGAATTTTGTTTTGACAACTATCTAGAATGATAGAAAATGGTCTAGCTAAGTAAATAAATCTGAACACCAATGTCTTTCATTCAGCCATAACCGCTGTACAAACGTTTTTTTTTTAAATTTTCGTGACGTCACAATTTATCGCCAAACAGCGCGTGTAAAACAGTCAAAACAAGACTGCTTTTTCAATGACCAAACCATGGCCTCGACATTAGCGGTGGTCCATTGGTCCGAGACCACCTGATTTTGGCAAGGACCACCTAATTTTACAGGCAACTGGTCCGTTAGACCACTTGAATTTTCCAAATGGTGCACGGGTCATCTGGGAGAATGGTTATTTGGTCGAAAAACGTGTTCTATAATTGTTGTTTAAAGCCATTTCTCCGATGTACAGGTATATGTTCATTCATCTGATTAGTTCAAAAGATCTTAAGACATCCATAACATTTTATTTACACGCTAAAAGTGTAGTTAAAAAAGTAGAAAATTATTTTAATAATTAAAGTATAAAATTCATTCAAATGTCTCTAGCACTGCATTGAATTTATAACATTGTATCACTATGGGATATCGGATAAACACATGAATAATGGTGCAAACAAGGCAAAGGAAAAATTAAATATCTTTGGCTACTTTTTTAAACGATCAGAGATCCATTTTTTTCTTATTTAAAGTACTTTAAAAGGTTATAAATACTTTGTCAAAAATAAATAAATTTCAACAAACAAGCATGTATAATAAATCTGTGAGGAAGATAAGCTCAATTATAATGTAGGAATTTTTCTGTTTATCATTAAATTTTCAAAGACAAGAATATAATAACTTAATAGTTTAATTAAAAATGTTAATCTATAAAATGTAATTATTATTCTTATAAGATGTTCCAGGAAACAGCAATGAGTATTTGAATAACAGTAAGGAAATAAGTCATTCACAAATGGTTTCACTATTCCCTAACTTGAATTGCGGAAGAAGTCACTTAACCGAAGTATGAGTACTGTCACTGTCATGTATTTTTCAATGAGATAATAAATAGGATTACAATGACTTACTATCTGATCTAAGATTGAAATCGAAAATATACATGTTTTCTTCAGTTGTTATAAATCTAAAAATAAATATGTCTCTGTCACCAATTTTAAGTGTAGTTCTTCTAAATCTGAAGTTTCCTTAAAAACAACTGAGTTAAAAAAAGATGGACCACCTGTGTTCATAAAGGACGACCTGAATTTTGGATCCAGTGGTCCGGCATACCACCTGCTGAAAAAGTTAGTGTCGAGACCTGACTGTCAAAACCGATTAAATTTCACTTTTATTTCACCATAAATACTCTGTATTTTGTTTGAAAAATATAAATTGTAATAGAATAAACACACAAACATTGTATGTGTATTGAACCGCGTCACGCATCTATAAATAATCAATATATTATTGTGCGCTGTAAAATTGCAGTGGCGTAGCAAGCAAGGGGATTCGTAACCATTTTTCTTTTATAATGAAATTAAATAAAAAGGTTATTTTTTCGTGTCTTTAAAATGAAAATATAATCCATATTTCACGAAAAACGAAAGAATATCCAGTTAATAGTTTAACGGTTTAATCAAAGGAGCTCATTATTCGCCACTTTCAAAAACAAAACATAGTTTACCTTTAGAACTCGCTGAACTCGTGATTGTATTAATGATTGATTGTTCTTGTTTTATGATAAGTTCATGAAAAATGATGATAACCGAAAGTAAGCAAGTCGTGGAATAAAAAAAAAAATAATGAAAAAAAAAAAAGTCGTGGAATATCAAAAAGAATGTTAATTCGTATTAGCTGTTGTTGTACATAATAGGGTTTGACTGTGTAACGTAACATTAATTTTTCATTGTTATTAAATGCACCTTCATTAAAGGATACAATCTTAATTAATAAAACCCTTACACGTTTGAGAAATACATGAACTAGTGTTTTCAGTTACTTTACGATTGAACTAAGATATGCTGGCATTGTATAAGTAGCGTTTTATATTAAAGGTATTATCAAGAGATAAAAAACTTATATATAAAAAATTTATTAAATGAAAATCTTGAAACATCTATAAACTCTTTTGTGATACAAAAAATATAACTCACATCAATAAAACTCCCAACTAAATATTTTTAATTTCGATAACAAAACTTATTTAAAAAACAATTAGAACATCTTTTTTTCCGTAAACCACGCTGTATCGCATGTCATTTATAGATATTTGCAATGACATGAAGTAGTGCCTGTCATAGAAGAGCTATTGTAATTACCTTCCCCATTTTCAGAAAACAAATGTCACTTGGCTTCTTTCCAACATATATTGTATAAGATTTATTAGATGAGAACAAATATGAAATCTTAACCCTGTAATAACGTCACACGCAAATATTATATTACAATAAACCTTTCTTTATGGTAAATACAAGCATTTGTAAATATTTCATGCCACAAGATGAAAATAAATCATGTATTTATTGCGAAAAACTTATATTTCTGTTCATTATATAAATATTTCTCTTTTTTTTTGACAATACAATTTGAAAGACTTTACCTTAAATTTTGTAAACTGGCAGATTTAAAAGAAAATAGTCCGGGATGACACCAGTGAAAATACTGCAGTGAAAAATAAATTTAACAGTGAAAATACGGAAAATGAAAAGAAGGATTTTATTTCATCAATGTTTAATTTATAAGTAAATAATAATTTTAGATATAATTTATAGCACAGTTTAACTTCTATAATAATGAAAAAAGAAACACCAATGCCAATCGCAACTTTTCGCCCCTATTCGTAAGTCTTCGGATAAGGACATCTAATACAATACATGTAGTATCAATACACAGAACGGATAGTGTATTTCGATGTAACCTACGCTAAGACACTTAACACGTTAACAAATGGGTTTTTAATGCTGGAAGTTGTTTGACAAGTTTTTTTCAATATATTAAGTAAAAGGAAAACACCTAAAATAAGTAAATTAATAGATATAAGAGTAAACAATACATTATATCAGAGACATAGATAACAGAGATGGGCAACTTCCTACCCAGTTAAAATATCACGCCTGCCTGCTTAACTTAAAACTTGTAGCAAGTAAAACTTATTGACCACATATCAAAAACAGTACAATAATACATTTTATGAAAGCTTATGCATTTGTCTATGTCTGCAGGTAAAAATATTTACAGTTCCCATTTAAATAAATGTTACATCATTTTTTTAAGAAAACTACTACAATATTTTTTGTTACAAAACTATTCATATGACAAAAACTGGCTCAGTGGATATGTTCTGCCTTGTAAAAGTGAAAGGCATGGAAAGTTACCAATATTTTAACATGAAGCAATAGATAAAATATGTACCTTTCAAATGGTATATAATATTAAAGGATTTAATATAAATCCATTAAGTTTTATTTGCTACAAAATGCCTAATTTTTCACTTTCTGATAGGCATGAGTGATATTTCAATGGGGTATATAAGAACTGCTTATCTCTGTTATTTATGTCTCTGATTATATATACACTTATTGTTGTAGAAACCGAAAATACAAAATACCAACCTGTCGACATTAAATCGATTTTTATTTAAAATTGTACATCAGTGGGCATATCAAAATAAAATGGTTGTCAGACATAAATACAATTACAAGTGTGCCGAAACAGACTTAACTTTCCTTAAGATGTCTACTATATACATTCCTTTTACGTTATCAAAAATGAAAAATTAAACTCTCTGATTCTATTAACATATGAAACCACATGGTCGAACTACTTTTAATTCGTATTTACTCCGGGTTTATTATGAAAAATAGCCAAGGACGTTCCGATTAAAAAGTAACTACAAAAATCATCAAAAGAATTGAATAGGATTTTTTTCGACTTGATCTTAACTGACTGCAATTCAATGTATTGATAAAACGGGCCATGGGTTGCTAATCCATTCATATATCAATAATTACACATAACATTTATGGCAGGTATAATTTATTAATTTCATAACCCTTGTAAAATGATATGTTTAAGATTTATAATTCACAATGTTACAAACGTGATCTAAAAACTGTATTATTATCTGGGCACAAACATTCACAGTAACGAAAGCTACCTATCATGTATATGGAAATCATAACAACAACACCAACATTAACAAACAACATAATTATCACCAACAGCATGTTTTTACTGTACTGAGGTAACTCGGGTAATTCAGAGGGCACTGCATAAATGTACTCAAGATAACAATATGATTCAATAGAGATCAATTGTCATTAGGTTGAAGATTTTTCATAATTTATATTGAAAGTTAAAGCAGGTTTTTGTTGACATCCTGATTATTTATTTATTCATTTTCAAACATATTCTATTTTCGCTAGGAAGTATCTGCAAAACCCTTCAGAGAACAACATCATCATCAAAGAGAATAATGAAAAAAAAATAAATAGGGGTAAATATTATTTAATAATAAAAATGAAACAACAGTGCAATTCTATGTTGTTATAACAAATTGAAAACTAAAAATGATTTTGTATAAAAACAATATTGCGTTTGTAAGATACGTAGGTGTAAAATGTTAAATACATGTCGATTGAAGGCTGTTTCTTTGTGAAAAGTGAGCTGTTCTGTCACATTATTAGTGGTTTAGCGACACAAAATAACTTCAAAAAGGATAAATGGTAAAAGGGTAAAAGACTTGTTTGTTTTGATTTACTGTAGTGTGTTCATCTTTTAACAGATGACATGCTGCTTTTTAAGCCTGATGTTGCTTTGATTTTTAACATCCGATGTTAGCCAAACTAATTTTTAGTTCAGTATGTTCTGTTAAACACGGTTTGCATAAACAACAATATATTGCATCTGCATATTTTACTACAGTATGTACTTTGATGCATTCTTTATATGTATTGTATCTGCATAATTGAATGTGTAAAATGTAAAATAGTTTATTATACGTTATTCAAAACCATATCTATAAATGTTAGTTTGAAAGTCTCTCTCACGCTTAACTTTAGTCGATTAAGTCGTTTTTTAACAATAATATGCTATTAATATAAATTTTGCATAACATAATATCACGCTAAGTAGCATTTCGCTCCATAACACTTACGATAAAAATTGTATTAAAAGAGAAATATTTGTTCTTCTTAAAAATATTTGTTTTTCTTAAAATATAAATCATAATAACGAGACAAATTCATTATACTTGATTTAAGGTGTAGGTTGAAGTCTGCTTTAGCTCGTGCTCATCAATGAAGAAGGAATGTTGACGATAATGTTGATTTAAAAGCGAGTTTAAGGTACTAAATGTTTCCTTTATCTTACGCGGCCCAAACTTAAATGGTCTCGAATAGCGGTTTATGTCTACACTGAAAGGATTATTGTACAAATATTGTTTAACATATTCTTTTAAAAGTGTATATGTTTACTTAAGCATGCATTTACTACTGCAGTCGATAAATACTTCCTTGTTCGCCAAGCTAAAGATCACGTGCTATACCTTTGCACTTTAACGGGCCGCACAGATTTACATCTAATATGAGTTTCGAAAAGATAGCTAGTGTAATAAATAAATAAAACAAAATATAAATATATACATAAATAAATAAAAAACATTGGCAAAACACAAATATTATGGTAGGCAAAGGTAAAATGAAAATGGTAGGAAACATATACGGTTATGGTTTCGGCAACACTTAATTTTCATTCATTCAGTTCTTAGATTTATCATTGTAAAAAATATATTTTAATTAAAACTAGACGAACTTTTAGAAAAAAGGATCGACTTCCGAGAAGAGATCAAACAGGTGTAAAGTCGGTGTTAAATGCACAAAAAGGAAACAAACAAGATGCCTAACAAATTTAAAGTATGAAGTTGTTGAAAGAAACATGTTCATGAATGATATTCTAATGACTTAAAGCATTCTATAAACATTATTACTGATTTGCCATTGTCAATAGATTCAAATGTATTAGTGCTTGAGATCTTCTTATCAGATATGTATTTTTATCATAATTTTTGAGTTATGCCTTTCGTACAATGAACAATTCTAGTTTCCAATTAAGAAACACTAACACACGTTATTTGCAAACAAATGTGATATTTTCTAAGCCATCTGGAATGTTGTTGATTGTGATCAATTGTCCTTTAATATTTTCCTGTTTGTATAAATAATTTGAAACATAATTTGATTGCCTGTAAGCGTTTTCGTTCTCAAGAAGAAACTGTATGTTGATTGAACCGGTTACGTCGATGGGATTTTCGAAAGTAATTTTTTTCCCTACAATTTCGTAATCAGTTCTTTTTGTTCCCTCAATAGAGATTGCCTTTACATATCCGACAAAAGTTCCAGTGACAGACTTTATTCTTGCAGACTTTTTCTTTGGACTACATTGTGCAGAGCCTGCCTGGTTCGCTGATACAGACTTGTTACATTCTTGTATATTCATATAACAACCACTCATCTTACCCTTTTTCTGAATATACTGTCCAAGGGCTATTGTGATCAGCGCTCCTGAACGTTCGCGTGCACAGAATTTTCCCAAAGATGTTGAATCTTTTGTTGCATTGTACTGATAAATCATGAGTAACTCGTCCTTTGTTAGGATTGCAGACGAAGTTACATTTTGTGCAAATTCCTCTATTGGTATTATCGGAAACCTTATCTGAAACAATGCTTCTCCAAGTTGATTGCGCAGAGTTTGTCCATCTTTCGACTTGTTGTTATGTTTACTTTTGTCCTTTGCCCATCTAATTGCTGCTTGAAATATTTCAATTTCATCACCAGCTAATTCATCATCCTTGAGAATGTCTAGTAATGTTGCTTTAGATAGTTCTAAAAACCCCGGCGAAGAAAACACACTTGGCGCATTATCCAAGATGTATGCAAAACATTTCTTTTGTAGCGGTTTCATTTCATAAATAACGGCCTGCTCATGGACCAAACACACGTTATCAATGTCAATATAATTTTTTTCAAGGTAGTTCGAACATTGGTTTATTAGGCCAGGCAAGTTGTATTTTTTCGCTGCATACAAGCAGGGCAAAGCATTTTCTCCATTGATCTCTGGATTGTCTGTATAAACAAACCTGGAATTCATAAAATGATAACAGCTTCCATGGCATAAGAGTGGCCTATCAGTATTTAGGTAGAACATAATAGATACTCAGCTAAACCTGATAAACAAGATTTGTACGTTGCAGCGGTTTAAAATTACATCAAACTAAAAGTGCAAATTCTTTACTTAGATGCGGTTTCGTTGAGCAAGCAAGGACATAATATTACGGCACCTAATTTATGACCTTGTGGTGAAATAAATCTTTTGGTGACTTTTAATTTCAAAAATACATAAATAACCATTTGTGTAATCATAGCTTTATTTATAAAGACTTTTGTTAAACCTTATTTAAACTCATGTACAATACGTGTGATTCACATCTTAATCATGTCTAGTAAAATCAGTCAAGAAAACAACTGATAAAACGTGTTGAGTTACACTGAATGTAGAATTTACTTACACTTTGATGTTTTTTATGTTTGTATAACTAATAGATATCAATATCTTAAATACCTCTCTAAATTTTAAAGTAATTACTTATATGTTCAACAATTTGAGCTGTAGTTACCTTAACATAGTCTTCATCACTTCAGGTTTTATGTCTTCAATTAACACCGTTTCTCCTTTTTCTGCAAGTGAACCATAAAACATGGCTTCAAACACTTCACTTCGCATGCTCAGTAGAAATTTATGAGCCGGAAGCTTTATTTTGTGATTGTCCTTGAAAGTAAAGCTGATGTCGGAAAGGTATTCTGAGAGGCAAAGGTGTGACAAACATTGTGAAGCCGTTCTTGTTTCCCTCCAGTTTTCTTTAGGCAACCTGAGAAATGTATATATTGATACAATCAATTCCTAACATTAATTATGTTTATACATGCCTAGATATACTTTAGTTAAAATCCTCGTACATACTCTCTAAATAAATATGTATCTTATAATAATAATAATAATAATAATGATAATAATAATAATAATAATAATAATAATAAAAATAATAATAAAAATAATAAACATATACGTATATTTCATCATTCATTCGTTCGTTCGTAATTTATGCAAGTATGTGCATAGATGCAACGAAGAATATATTGATAAAGCCAACGATCAAAACAAACGCATGACAGTTCATAGACAACAAATCAGTAAGAATCATAAGGACTAGTGACCACGTGAACAACTGCGGAAGAGAAGAGACAAGATTCGTAGTTATTCTGTACTATTAAAATTAATATAAACTGAGTTTGTATCAAGAAAGCAAAAAGACCAGAATTTTATACAAATGTTTCAATCAAAACTAAATTGACTGTTTTGACAACACATAGATATATAAATATATTGCCTAACTGCAAGAACGGGTCTTAAAACATTACTAGCTATGTTGCTAAAGATGGGGTTGAAAACTCAAATAAAGTCAAGTAAACAAAACAAACCTTTGAAAGAGAAGGTTTAGTAAACCATGTTTGAAAGAATGATTTGATATGAATTTGAAATAGAAGCAAAATTATAGTAACGGCATTTGGCATAATTGGATTTCATAAACGACTGTAAAGTCTTCACGGGAGAATTAAAACGTAACGTTTAAAATTGACGGTTGGTAAACGATCCTATGATGATTAAGATAACCAAACATATTCAATCTCGATGTATAGATGTGAAATAAACGTAAAACGTTTGGCAGGGATGAACGTTCAACCCTTTACTCTTTAGTCCTAATCTAATGAATCTGTTATTTTTGTTTGTACCTGCCAACTCCAGAGGAAGCAGATTTTCTTTCACATGACGACTTTCCGGACCGAGCTGTCTTCTTTGACATTTTGTCTGACCTATAACAAGAAAAAACAACAAAAACAAAAAGAAAAGAAAAGAAGAAAAAACAACATGTACCTGATACATAAGCAGGTAACTAAACATGTACTTTCTCTGTTCTTTCTTTTTCAAAATTTAAAATTTAATTTCTAAGACTAAGATTTCTTTTCAAATAAATATGGGTTCTCTTTTAGATTGATATACCCTTTAATAAGGTAAAACATACATGTACATACAAATGATACCAATTCTTGAAAGTTAAACATCTCACAATCACTCGATAGGAAGTCAGCTACATGTAAAGAGGAAATGTAACGCATAATTAACTCGAATTTAAATCATTTGCCCTTGGAATAGGCAAAATATCAAATTTAAGCACAAAAAAATTTATGACTGTGCTTTTTGTATTTTTTAAATAACACATGGGTTTGTTGGTAACAGTAAAATTATCATATTTGCGTAGGAAAATACTGTAAAAGAGGATCAATATGGCCCTAGATCGCTCACCTGACCCATCGAACTCATCCGAGCATTTACATACACAAGCATCTTGAACTAGTTTCACGACAGGTGAGTAAAAAATGTAACCACTAGAGTATTTACAAGGTTTTTCCATATTCAGGCGTTGTGGCCTAGTTTTTTCAACACAGGTGACCAATATTCAACCTTGACCTAGAAAGCATCAAAACATACTTTCAGACCAATATCCAGGATATTTAAATCAAAAGAGTAGCCATTAGTGTGTTAACAAGATTTTTCTATTTTTTGGCTCCTGTGATCTATGTTTTTATCCGAAATGACCCATGTTCGAACTCATCCGAGCAATTATCTAGACAAGCATCCTAACCAAGTTTGAAGACAGTTGAGTCAAAAATATGACCACTAAAGTGTTAACAAGAATTTTTTCTATATTTGGGCGGTGTGACCTAGTTTTTGACCTCAGGTTACCCATATTCGAATTCAACCTAGAAATCACCAAAACAAACTTTTAGACCAATTTATAGGTTATTTAAAAAAAGGTAGCCACTAGAGTGGAAACAAGATTTTCTATTTTTAGCTCCTGTGACCTTGTTTTTCATCTGAGATGACCCATGTTCGAACTCATCCGAGTAATTATCTAGACAAGCATCTTGACAAAGTTTTGTGACCATTGAGGCAAAAATTTGACGACTAGAGTGTTTACGAACAAATGTGGACGGACGCCGTACGACAGACGACGGACATTCAACGATCCTAAAAGCTCACTCTGAGATAGCTCAGATGAGCTTACGAGTGATGAAGTTTTTACTGTTACTAACATTACAATGTTTTATTTGTTCTATTACCCCGATCAATAACTGTGATGATTTTTTCATGATGGTTTTATTTTCTTTAGAAAAAAGACCATGCGACCAGATTTTTCACTTAGTCACATGCTACGACTGAAATAACAATATAAATAACTTCAAGTGGCCTGTGGGAAATTAACATTACCCACAATATAGGGGAAATAATCATATTAGTTTTTGCACAAACATGATAATTAAAATAATTCAGGCATAAAATTAGTGTTTTTTAAATTATAAATAATGCATAACAAAACATGTTCATGGTTCAAATTAAGTTATAATATAAAATTTGTGCACTTTCAACTATTTTATCACTGAATGAAATTCAACGAAATATTACAAACTTGTGTGAAATCGAAAGAAGCTCAAAATACCAAAAAAATAAAACAAATCAAAATTAAAAAACGATCAAATTTATTAAAATTTATGTTCTAAGATAAACGATGCATATGCATTTTTATACACATCTTCTATTACAGAAAGAGAAAAAAGAGAAACGAAATTACCTTTTCGAATCGGCAATAACACAGTTTACTGTTTAGCTGTGTCCTAATGTAGCTAACCAAGTTTGTAAAACATAAGTCTATTTCGATCAATATTCTTTGTTAAAATATTTACAACTAAAGGCTTGATCATAATACAAATTCAAAAGCAGGTAGTTTAAATTTGAAAAGGTTTTTTTCTGCACCGGTATCATTGTTAACATTAATAGCAAATAATAATTATCGTATCATTAATCTATCTTTTTCGAAATATTACGTGTATACGTTATTTCCCAATAATGTAAATATAATATATTTGTTACTTTAGTTTTCACAAAAATAAAGGCTTGTTTTAATTTAATAAAACAACTTCTTCTAAACATCTTTCTACTGGCAAAATAAAATTTTTAATAACTACTGGTTGAGGCCTTATTTCATTCAACGTAAAATTTTGCCCGGCCTCCATGTTATATTTATAATATAGGAGTTCTTAAGAGTCCTAAAAATACATATACTTTACAGTATAAATAAGTTCACACCTTTAATATATATATATATATATATATATATATATATATATATAATATATATATATATATATATATATATATATATATATAGATGCCATCCTCATACATACTCTATAAATTATTATAAATTTTATCATTTAATATAGAAGACTGTCGATTCAAAACAAAATTGTTTCTTTTATTTATTACAGCATTAGAGATTTTCCTGTAATTATCATCGTATACAGTAACAGACGGTGAAACCTAAGGATACGCTAGTCGGGTTTATTCGGACCGCTGACAGAAAAGGTGGCAAAACCATATTGAAAACGTTACGGGAGATAGTCCTAAATATCTTGTAGATGCAATTGTGTCTCCATGTGTATTTTATATATGATACATCAAAAACTATATGTATTATATATTTATTAGGTCTGAGTGCAAGTAAGGGGTCATAAAACAGTGTAAAGTTTGATGTAAAACTACAATAAAATCAGGCAAGTGCTTAGAAACAATATAGCGTGTTTAAAGCGACACGCATCCAGTTGGTAAAATAAAAAAAAGAAATAAAATTTCAAGTAAACGTTTAATTAAAAATTCCATTATTACTGACATCTTAATTCAAGAATACTGACAAAAGCATCAATATATCGCGTTTCATCTTAGCATAATCTACTTCGTTACTAACGCAGTAGCCAGTGTAAATAGGAGAAGATAATTCATTCAACACGGTCACGTGTCACAACAGAGGTTCGGAAAAATCTCGGTATCCGTTACTGCCGGGGTCGTTCATCATTTTTTGTCAATGAGTAGGCCCTAATTATGTTTCAAGCTAAAGTTTAAATCGATTTATTACCCCTCACATTTTTCGTAATGCTAATTTCCCATACGCCTCTGAGAGTTATTCTTACTGCTAATACAAGTGTACCACGTTACCAAAAAAAATATACTGTTACATGGGAAACAGTACGTTTTAACAGTATAAAATCTGGTCACGTGGTCTATTCTTTAAATAAAAATAGAATAAAAAGGCCGCCATTTTTTTATCGAGTCATTGTTATTTTCGAAGTTTACTACTACAGGGCATCACTAGAGTTACTATGACCACCCATATAATTTAGTTGCTTGCACCCTGGAGTGCTTTTCGCGTATAAAATATATTTTGTTGAATAGTCCAAAAGTAAACATCCGTTTTCACCGGAAGTTATTGCAATGTGAATAATTATGTATCAAACTTGAATATTCAGACGAGTTAAGGATTATTTAACAATTTTAATCAGTGAAACATTACAGACATACTGGAATGACATATGTAGGATATCATCGTTATTCTGAAAACATATAGGTCAACCATGCGAAGAATATTCTGGATACAGAAGGATCAGATTTCACTCATCATAACCGTATAAATGGGTTTGTGTTTTGTTTTCTAAATAAAACACAGCTTATTGTATGTTAATGACTGGTAGATATCATCATTTGCTTAAAACATAAATGGAAACAAGAACCGGTTGAACCGGGTGATGCTCCCCGAGAAGGTTCTGGACACAGGAAAATTTAAAAAAAAAATGAACACAGGGCAAAAACTCCAAAATTAAGCAAAGAGGAGTTATGTTTTTTTGCACTGCACTTCTATTCAATGAGATCTATCTATCTATAAAGTTTCCTGATGATATCAGAGTTATGTCCCGGGTAAAAGTCAAAGTGTGAAAATGAACAAAGGGCAATTACTCCAAAATTAGACCAGGCTTTGATTAGGTTCTTTAAGCATTGCAGTTCTATCCAATTATATCTAGCTACCTACAAAGTTTCATGTTGATATCTCTAATAGTTTTAAAGTAATGTCCAGGACAAAAGTCAAAAAGTAAAAATAAACAAAGGGCAATTTCTTCAAAATAAGGCAAAGCAGAGTAATGATTCTTAAGCACTGCACTTCCACCCAATGAGACCTATCTATCTACAAAGTTTCATACTGATATCTCTTATAATTTTAGAGTAATGTCCCAGACAAAGTTCAAAGTGTCAAAATGAACAAAGGGCAATAACTCCAAAAGTAGGCAAGACAGTGTTACAGTTCTTGTGCACTGCAAACTTACTCAATGAGATCTATCTACCTACAAAGTTTCATGTTGATATCTCTTATACATTAAGAGTTATGTCCCGGACAAAGTTCAAAGTGTAAAATAAACAAAGGGGGATAATTCAAAAATTAGGCAAGGCAGAGTTAAGTTTCTTGTTCACTGCACACCTACTCAATGAGATCTATCTACCTACAAAGTTTCATGTTGATACCTCTTATACTTTTAGAGTTATGTCCCGGACAAAGTTCAAAGTGTAAAATAAACAAAGGGGGATAACTCAAAAATTAGACAAGGCAAAGTTACGGTTCTTGTGCACTGCACACCTACTCAATGAGATCTATCTACCTACAAAGTTTCATGTTGATACCTCTTATACTTTTAGAGTTATGTCCCGGACAAGTTCAAAGTGTAAAATAAACAAAGGGGGATAATTCAAAAATTAGGCAAGGCAGAGTTACGGTTCTTGTGCACTGCACACCTACTCAATGAGATCTATCTACCTACAAAGTTTCATGTTGATACCTCTTGTTGTTTCAAAGTTATGTACCGGACAAGAAAAGGGGACAGACGGACGGACGGAAAGACGAACGGACGGACGGACGGACAAGGCGGCGACTATATGCTCCCCCGAAATTTTTTCGGGGAGCATAATGACCCCCAAGTTTGCCTACTGTACAGTACACTTAAAACTTAAAATGTAAGGACAGTTTAGTTATTGTTGATGCTTGCTTACGAATTGCAGCCTTAGTAAAGTGAATATCATTGGTCTTGTTTAAGAAATTTAGCCTAAGTAACATTGTTATCAATGGATATTTTATTTAACAGTCACATAATTGGCATTTTGTGTTTTCAAAAGACTTAAATTCCACATGCATTCCATTCGTTACTATGGTGTTTGCAATTAAGTTGGATTTCCAGGGATATCATCAACCTCGTTTTTTGAGTGATCTTGCTTTTAACAATTATGTTATTGCTATGATTAAATGGTCGATTCTCGAAAGAGCTGTAACATAAAAAGATTTGGTTTTAACACATATGAATATTGTTAATAAAGTTTAACATTTTAAAACGTTCCAGAACAAAAGGAAATCTGCAGTTTAAATCTAGGACTTTAAATAGTAAAGCAATTCCTTTGAGCATGCGCCATGCGCCCATAAGGAAATAACGATACAATAATAAGTTCTTTAATAAAGATATTCTACTTTATGGACTTATTTTCTTTGACAATTAGAATATTTTTGTTTTGAAAAACTGTATGTGGCAGAGATATAGCTTTATATACATGTACGTTAATACTTTAAAAACATAATTTTACTAATGAAAGATATTTTCTATTGTATTTCATTCCGGGCATCCGGGCATTTTATGGCATTAAATTGAACCTAAGTTTTCCCATCATTCAGACAGTTTAATTTGGAAGGCTAAAATATCTTTTAAAGTATGTTTTCTTTCCTTTTTTAATTGACATACCTTTTAAGAAGTTAAAATATACAAACTAATGATACCAATTCTTGAAAGTTTTCACAATCACTCGATAGGAAGTCAGCTACATGCATAGGAGAAAATGTATCGCATAACTAACCTCGGGTGTAAATTACCTGCCCTTGGAATAGGCTAAATATCAAATTTCAGCACGACCCAATTTATGACAGTGGTTTAGGTTATTAATAGACAACAAATGGGTATGTGATTAACAGTAAAAATATCATCCATTTTGTAAAAATACAGTATTTTTACGAGGTATGATATTTTTACTGTTACTTACAAACCAATGAATTATTTATTCTATTACTCTGAACAGTTACTGTGATGAAATGTTTTATGATAATTGTATTCTATTTTCTTTAGAAAATCGATCATGTGATCAAAATTTAAACTCAGCCACATGGTACATTAACACTATAAATAACTCCCAGTGGTCTATGGGAAATTAACATTACACAAAAAGTGAGGGGTAATAATTATTATATAGGTTTTGCACAAACCGAAAAATAAAATAATTCAGGCATAAAGATAGTCCTCTGTAAATAACAAAAGCTAAATAATAATAAATTTCAAAAACAAAATTGTGCAAAACAGAAAGTAACTCAGGAATACCGAAATTAAAACAAATGCAAATTACCAAAAAGCACAAATTTTCATCGAAAAGTATGTTTAAAGATAAGCAACAATTACAAC